AACCAACCAAGAACCTATCACGCAGCAAATATGCAGGAGGAAGTGGAGATGGATTGGCCATGCACTGAGAAGGCCGACGGAGGACATCACGCGTCAGGCCAGTTACTCGAGTGGAATCCCCATGGGAAGCGACGAGTTGGACGTCCGAGGGTGACATGGAGGAGGTCGTGCGAGGAGGAAATGAGAGCTTGTGGGCTGTCGTGGGACCAGGTTCAAAAGATCTCAGAGAACAGAGGTCACTGGAGGCGTGCTACTGAAGCCCTATGTTCCACTAGGAACCCAAGGGACTAATAATAATAATAATAATAATCAGTTCTACCTGTCTTGTTCTGTCCCATACTCATCGTTCCTTAGCCCTGCTACTTAATTTCCACGTCGCTGTACTTTGATAACTTCGCTGAATTTATCAAAATTTATCTTTTCCTTCGTCTCATTTTTCCATTACTTATTTTCCCTACCTAACTGCCGAATCCCTTTATTTTTTAATACCAGTCCAAAGAACTACTCAATGAAATGTCCCTTCAAGATGCCACCTGCACTACTTTTTTCCCCACAAGTTTACCAGGTCGCCAACCACCATAATCTTTCCACATTTGCAGCAGGTGAGTAGATGGATCAGCCACATCGATATCCATCAGCAACGCGAAACCTAAAAGCGATTGTGTTGAAATCAACCGAACCAATAGTTGACCTCGGTTAGACAATCACAATTATCACTTCCTGTAAAATGCCTAAGCCATGTCCCATATAACTCTCAAAGCCCTTTTTTAGCTCAGCAAAGAGTATTTCGTACTGATACACCTGGCCTAGGCTCCAGTCAGCCCGTAAAGCTACCGAGAGTAGACGGGTGAGAACAAAAGGAAAGTTCCTGGTTAAATCCTACGTCTACGGTGATGACTGACACTCACATGTTCTCACTGTAACCAGAATGACATGGCTTTTAAGGGTGACGTCTGTGTCAAGTGGGCAAGTAGTTGATACAGCAAAGACGTACTGGACTTATACTGTGCTTTTATATCGAGTCATCTGCGCACGTGATTCTCGTATATCTACCCGCAGTTCTGCATTAGGCACCATGTATACGAGCTCGCCTAGGGGGGCTGTAAAAGGCATCCGTGGCCAGTCAAATGCTGGTTCCAGCACAAAACACTGCTGCGAGGAGGAGCCGAAGAAGGAGAGACTCAGTTTCGTTCTAGGGACAGTTGCGCCTGTGAATGGTGAGGAGACGACCAGCTGACGACCGTCCTTTAGGCCATCACATCAACCCCAAACTGCCCTAGCGGCTACCGCCGCCATACATATTGAAAAATGGGCTCGAGCTCAGTCTGAAGCTTTCCTCTCGCTGTCGCTCGCTGGTCATGGATCTATCAACTAGCGTTAGGAGCAGGCCAGATCTCTTAAGGTTGGCAAGAAGGGTGTCTCATCCTACTATCTGGGACCGATAACCATGTTCATCCACAGCGTCCTAGAACAAAAGCCGGCAACTTGGTCGAACAACTTATCCATGATGTCCAACAGTGGCGGCTGTTGTCAGCAAGGATGGGGTTAATTGGAACACCGGTGGCACAGGTCAACAGGGTGTCATATACCCATGTCTAACAACAGTAGAACCACATAAACTGACGGCTACTAACCTCGGAAGCCCAGGTCCGCCAACTACATCGCTGCAAACGTGGCGCACAGCTATGGACAGTGTCAGCGAGAACGTTCGCAATCGCTAAAGCCGGCTAGAGCACTGCAACACTGCAATAAAAGCAAATGGCAGCCTCCATGCTGCAGTAACCACTACCATGAGCAGACCAGACGGTGTCTAAAATAATCCTGACTCGATCACTACTCCAGGAACCACTATGGGGCAAAACTGAATGGGTTAGTTCCGGTGGAACTGACTGGTCAGTCCCAACCACTGCCACTACACGCAACTCTGCTGTCCGCCACTGTCAAGACAACCTATGTCGTTAGAAGCACCTCCAAGTGTCTTTGCAGCAATATGAGGGTACTTAGTGATGACATGGCGGAACTACCACCTCTGTACTCTGAAGATCACAATCCTGATGGAAGCTTGGTTATCGCTGCATACTAGGTACACTGAAGCTAGTAAGGACCGTACGCGTCTGTTCGGGATCGACAAAGAACACAAGAAGGGAGGCGGAGTGGCAAATTTTATGGGTGATCATTTCAAAAGTGAACGAGCTATTGCAACTGTACCTTCAGGGCTACCAGGCTCACTGTATTGCCCCTTCACGAATGGACAAACAAAGCGACCGGTAGGAGGGTCAATAGGACCCTTGACGGCAACGCGGGAGGAAATTGACAAATACTTCAATTGACATCCGCAGTGACGGCATGAGGTATGACCAGGCCACCGTAGAGAGGGCTTTTAGTATCCCGACTCCGTTTCTGGCAGCAGTGGGCGGCCTCAAGTGGGAAAGTTCAACGAAAACCTACTCGACGCCGGCAGAAAGGCTTGGGTGCATGAGAAGATTTGGGATGATACCATCAGAAGTCAAGCGGAAAAGCATCTAGACTGGACAGTCTTCTTACTGGTTACCGTCTGCAGCATAAAATATCCAGGTTCAAACCCCTGTTAGTAGCAGTCATCCCGGTATTGCGGCATCTAATCTGGTAATCACCAAACAACTATCCGGGTGGGGATCTCACTTCGGTCTCATCCACAGGAAGCAAATTTTGTGGCGATAAACAAATATCTGTCAACAGCGCCATGGCCCCAAGAGTGCAGTATCTTATCGACTGGCTGGCACTGGCAGCTAGTGAGAGACACAATCAGTCAGGCCATCTCTGAAAAAGTCCCATTAGTCACTGCGATATCGAAGGGGCAGGTCTCATGCCTGAAATGGGGCACTCAACCGCTCTTGAAAGCTAAGAACAAGACATGGCATAGATAGATGATATTCAGAAAAGAATCGGGTCATTTTTCATATGTGTCTCTAAGAGACTGATGCGACATCAAAGTGAGGGGGCAAGAGGCTCGTTTCAGATGAAAATTGCGCGGAGATAAGAGGCAAACCCCAAACGCCCATATTGATTCAGGGCTGGGGGAAATTTTGCCGGCTAGGGGGGCCGAGCCACGAAAGGTCTGAACGAAGAGAACCTTTCTGAACTGGAGACCGCCGAAACTCTTAGCACCACCTTTGGCACAACCAAACGCTCCGTCATCCGATAAAAATTACCAACTGTCTGAGCAACCTTCGGCGCTACTTGGCATTGGAGAGTTGAACATGTAAGGGTTAACCCTGTTATGGTCTTCGAAAAACTTCCAGAGCTTCTCTCGGGAAAATTGCAAGAATGCAATGATATTCAGCCACTTGTCGAAACAATGTGCGTATGTCCTTCGCGGTAGGCTTTGCCATCCGTCTACACACTCCTTGGAGGAACACATGCTTTCATGAGGGTGGAAACGTCAACATGGTTTGCTCGACTTGGTAGACACCATCTAGCATGTCACAAAGGGCAATATTGGGTCCAATAGTGTTCCTTCGTTTTGTGAATGGCCGCCCGTTGGGTCACTGAGCTTCAGTTCTACTTTACTCTGCCTATGTTAAGTTACGGAGATGTGACATTCGAAGCAGGATCAACTGTACTGCAAAGTGATCTCAGATTGCTTGCAAAGTAAGTGAACAATAACGGGCTGGGGTACAACCTGGATAGACACCAAACCATGTTTCTCCGCAACTGTAACTCGTAGGAAGTATCTCAGTCTCTCTAAGAAGCGCAGTTTTCCCCCACGACCATGGAGAAAGACTTGGAACTGATACTTGCCGACAAGCTAGACGCTGGCTCAAGCAGATGCCCCCAGTGCTGCACTTTATTCGCAGACGACCAGGTGCTGTTACTCCGGGACTTTTCCTGAAAGTGCACGAGACCACTTCATTTAGAGGTCCACAACGTCACTGCACCAGCACATCTGGAGAGTGATGGAAACCGCCCGAGGAAGGTCTGGATGCGAGAAGAGACATTGTGGGTAAGCGTCAAAAACCCTTCAGGAACAGTCATCACAGGTTTCGTGACGATTTCACAATCCGAGTCATCTGAACAGTGGAACCCTACCGAACGTTCACTGTGGTAATCGTCATGGTAACTCAAGCAAAACCGGCCATCAGAGGGCGAAAACCCATGTTCGTTAACACTTTTTCTGCCTGCAAGCTTGCGGTCAGTGTTGCGCAATGCCCGTCAATATTGATGCTACTCCGTCTGTCGACAGATTCGAGAAGAGGTTGGTCAGCTGCACAGAGATGCTTGGCCTGCTCTCATCCAGCTGGGATACAGACTAGGTTTACACAACCAACTAATTCCGCACAATTCAGCCGAGTTAACCCCTATTCTGAATCTTTTGTACTGCGACTATAGTTGTGAATTTGACCAAACCATACACTTCCCTCTAGTTACCAAACTTCCAATAATATCGTTACTGTTTCTATTCCTGTAGTCCGTCATATAATTTTACTTGCTTCTACTGTTGCATCTGCCCGTATAATCTCACCCTATTTTTGAGGTTCTCTCTATCGTTCAGCTCCCCTAAATCTACCTAGGTTTCTCCTTATCTCGCTCTCCGCTTCTTTTCACCTTGCTTTTTCGACAGGCACCTTTTCTCCCTTTCTATCTCCTTTTTCCAAGCAGTCCGAACAGTGATCCGGTGGTACGACACTTGAGGATCGCATCTGTACCGCACTTCTTGAACGAGCTCATAAAATTCTCACAAATTTAATCAATATCCAACTGCCCGTCAGGCTAACCACAGCTACAGAAAGTGAGATGACATGCTTGCTGCATCGAAACCCTCCAAAGACTTGGGACTACTCCGCAACACCTAGAAGTGAGTGCGAAGTCAATTGGTTTACACTAGCTAGTAAAAAGATATTGAATATTGAGTGCAAGTTCGTAAAACTGACAGTAAAATTGGAAGCTCCGCACTAGAGATGTAGTATTCATATTATTACGCTACTTTCGCATCATAATAATACTAGTTTGGAATAGGTATTCTTTTAATCCATTGGATTAACTTAGTAAGTCGTCGAACATATTTTAATGTTGTAAATACAGTTGGGAGTCTCAGGTGTTGAGTAACCTGCTAAAGCTGTTTATCGGTAACAGCCACATGTGACCTGCGAACTTTGAAAGTTTTAGAAGAGAAAAGGGATAATTGTTCAGTTCTAAATATCTGGTGTAAAGGCTTAAAATTGTAGTAAAATATATTTTGCGAATATTTATGTAACAAATGTTGCAGACGTTACCGTTGCTTGTTTCAACAAAATTAGCTTGTTTCAGCTCTTCTTTGCATATCAACTAACGTGTGCCAGTAGGGTTATTTACTTGCCCAGCCAGCACTTACTTCGGGCGCACTGTAGTCTCACCCGATGGACATTGTAAGTTCGTAGAATTCCTCTCTGAGTTATTGAAGATCCAATGCCTAATTCTCACAGCTTTGCGGGTGTAAGTACGGTATTAAATGCTATCTTAGAAAGTAACTTGCTCGACTAGATCTCGATTTACAGTCCTCAATGCCCTGACCAACTGTAAAGTTCACTAAGGACCGAAAGAAACAATGAAGCCTGCCGTTGGCTGTTTATAATTTTTGATGGAATTTTAGGCCAGGCAATTGATTTTCGACCTATGGGTCACTGTTTCCAACCCGGCTCCGCCAATCCTAGTTTCAACAGTCAGGTAGCATCATTGGCCCACACAGTAGGTACGAGTCAGTGCCTGCTGCGCGCAAAAGCAATGAGTTGCCGAGCGGATTTCAATTTCTTAATCTTTGCTTCCGCACCCACCCACTGCATTTCATATGAAATGGAGCTTGCGTTATACCACAAATGGTCTAGCTTTCTACTAAAAGGCAAGCAGTCGTAGGTGGTTGTACCTAGTGATATCAGTATACAGGTGTGTAGCCATACAAAGCAGTTAAGCGGCAACTTCGGAATCCTAGTCGAAGGAACAGATAACGAAATAACATACTATGACTATGCTCAATTAACCATCTGTTTCTCATCATCATGAACGCCAAACATAAAGAGACAATAGTCTGAGAGTAAAACAGGCACTGGTAATGTATAATTGCACATTAAATTGGTAATTTTGATATACACTACTACAGTGTACCCAAGTTTCAATTCAATACCAGTAAAACGCACGGTCTTTCTGCTGAGAGGCTAGTCTATAATCTTACACAAATTTCAAAAACTGAAGCTAGATTTTGTTATGCACTATCCTAAAAACCAAATCATTCCCAAATATTTCTGAATTCCTGTTCCAATCCCATCGGATAAACTTACTAGAGCAATAGAATGTATCGACGAACTGTATCTAAGAGAGGAGAACGAAAAAACTGTCCAAAAAGCTGCACAGCATTTAAAGTGAAGTCGAGCAACTAAAGTGTAGACTCAGTGACTCAACAAAAGATATGATGAACTTCTGATAGAGTCAAGAAAGCTGGGGTGGGCTTATCTCGAGGACCCCATCCAGACATTCTTCACTTCCCTTCGCCGCTCAGAACAACATTTGAGACTTCATTAATTAGTGCCAGTGTTGAAGTAATGACCACATCTCTGCTGTTAAACGTCTTTGTGATTGGTATTCACAGCAAGAACCAGAAAGGCTGTAGAATTGATGCAGCGTCTATGTAACGACATGCAACTCAGTTACCATTCGCGCGTTCATGAAACAGGCAGTGAGCCATACTTTTTGGGTCCGAGCTAATGATACTCACTTGCTGCTCAGACCTCAGCAGGAGTAACGGTGTTCGAGTCCGTAACCAACTGTTTAAAAATATTGTGCCTGCATCAATGGGCTATAGTTCCAAGCTTACCATAAACGAAATAACTGTATTTTGATCAAGCCAACAGTCTAACTTATGCTTGGGACTCTGTTATGGCCCAAACTACTTAAGCTATGACTGACTGCTACTGGTTTTATTGCTTGACCTAGATTTCTTGGTTTGACAGGATCACAACGGACAAGTGTTTCAGTTATTTTAGTGCAGCGGAATTACGATGATCCCAACTGGCATCTGTGGCGGTGACCGACGAGATATCCATCTATCTATCAAAGGACGATTATACTACACTGAATTCCATTCTGTCCTGTTACACACCTGTGAAATATGGTCGTTAAAAGTGGAAGACATGAAGCGGTTACAAGGTTTTGATCACAAATGTCCTTGTAGCATTGCTGGGGCATGGTGGAATCACCGTGTAAGCAATGTTGAGGTCAGGTGTAGGGTACTAGGCAAGACAGGCAAGTCGATTGATGAAGTTGTGAACCTCAGTCGACTGAGATGACTTGCTTGAACATGTACTGCACATTTCCAGCCTTCACCTACCTCGATGTATCATGATAAAGGAAGTTGGATTAGGTTGGAGGAGAGCTCAGGGTAGCGAGATCAAGACGTGGCAACAGTCGATGCACTCTCTTACTGTTGGTCTGATCTGTTTTGGGAGATGTAGACTACCATGTTGGAGTCCTCAAGACGATAGAAATCGGTGCTTGAGAAGTCTTGGTGACATGGCTGAAAATTGGTCACAATGGCACAGATGCATTCACTCCTTGACATGTCCTAAAACTTGAATATTTGCACTATCCGTTATCTAAAGATTGTTTATTCTCTCATACAACTCTGTCTACTTTGATATCACTCCTTTCTATCCATCTGTTCTTTGTGTACTACTGTGAAATGTGGCTACCTGGACTGATACATTCGCGTCAGGCTTTACGTTGATTTTGTCCTAATGTATAACCTACCCACTATCGCAGTTGTAACCTGCTCCACGTGCTTCAGTTCATGTCGCTAAATATCATGCTATTTCAGAATGAAGTTTACACCCTGAAATATTGTTCTTTTTACCTTTATATATTTTTTATTCTGATGAGTCCTAGAGAGATGAGTATTTCAGGCACTTCCATTTGTTTGTGCGGTTAATAAGTGTAACTCCCACGTTATGTCGCCCAACCATTCACGCTCAACTGTTTAAGAACTTTTCTTTTTTTTTATCAGTTTAGCGTAAGTGATTTAGTGCATTTAATGCGTATATTGCGAGATTAGTTATGGATGGTAGCATATCTAACTGTTTAAAATTCTTGGTGCATCTTTCTTCATTCATGAACTGTTTACTGCTTTGTTACTGGAAAATATTTTTATAAACGTTTCTGGTTTATTTGATGACTTTTAACCAACATTTTTTTCTAGGTTCCTGCTGCCTGCTTGTTTTTGTACGACAGTTTACTACGCGAAGCACTCAGCTGCTGATCATACCCTAATGTCACTTGATGTACTCTTGAAATGTGATTTTTCTGAGGTCGATCTACCTTCCAGTTGGATACGAAAAGCTGTGTTTTGCGTTCCTTGGAACATGAGGATTGTTACCATCGGATTGCAGGATAAGATGCTTATTTTTGGGGGTAATAATGTAATAGTTTCTGGTTATTTGCTGTAGGATTAGCCAGGAACTGTGACAATTTCATTCTCCTCAGTGAACTGAAGTTCCAGAGGTATTAAAAACTTAAAATTACGTATAGTTTTAGCCGCATCACAGCAATTAATTGTTTGCAGTTTCCTTCGTAAGAAAGTTTCCTGGTTGGTATAACTGCTTAATTTTCAGAAGTAAGAATAACAACAGTAGTGAGTGGAATGTGTTCGTCGTTGGTCTTGAGAATGGTGAACTAATATTCCTAGATGAAGTATGTCCTTCAACATCTTCGTGACAGTTCGTTTTCAGAATAATAAAATTTTATTGTGTATCAAAGTTGGATTCGATTCTGTTAAGTCCATGCAGTTGACTTCATGTGGTGTAAGATTGTGTAATTCTGTCTAATTTTCAGTAGGAAAACTTATGTGTCTTAAATAAGACATCAATTATTTGCCTAGACGTAAACGATCTTGAAGGTGTTCTGTTAAACAGCCGTATTTACTTATCGGAACATTTCCCTGAGTTTGATGAAAACATTAACGTTGAGTACTCGAAAACCATTCGTTATCGAAATATGGTTGTTCCAACAGATGGTGAGAAACAACACTTTTCGTGTTTGTGTAAGTAAGCATTTATCAAACAAGATGGTTTCAGCTAAACCCCAAATGGGAATCTTCGATTCGCTCGTACGAAAGTTCGCTTTTGGATCGCATTTGAACGATGGGAGAGTGTGTGTACAATCACCAAGGCAAACTAGATGGACAACAACTGGTTCTAATCCTTTCATCAGCTTCAGTTTCTCAAATGAGGTAACTAAGAGTTCCTTATTTTTCATCAGTAATGTAATTCTTTCATATCAAGGAGTTATCTGTGGTTAATTGACTCTTCTTTCAGTCAAGAAATATTAAATTTGTATATTTCCTTTTCAGAACACGGATCCAGGAGTCTCTCATTTTGCATCTTTTGTCTATCAAGAGGCTAAACGTGCCGTGTTTGGATTCAAAAAGTAAGTTTAATAACCTCAGTTTACATTTAACTGCTTATTCGTTACTGGTCAGATATTTCTCCTAGTATGATGATATTGATAATTAATCATACCTATATTTATGTGCAGGGCTTATTTCATACCTGTTTCATTTTCAACGGTCGCATTTATAAATTTATTTGTTGGTCTGCGAGTCGTGATATAATCCTGTTATTTAGCCAATAGGTGAGACAAAAATCAGTTACCATGGGGTGAGTTGGCTGATACCTCTATGAATTTTATACTCATGTCTTATGGTGCATTTCTATCGTACACCAAGACTGTATTTATTATTTAGCCACGTTGTGCCACTGTGTAAACACGTAGATACTGACTTGGAATATTAGTGATCGGCTTTTATTCCTGAAACCTGGAACTTAAGGATTCTTGTGTCAGCTTCGAATTGGGTAAAATATATCTCTAGCCTTCATTTTTATTGGATAATTCTCAATAATTTATGTCCCCTTCATTTCTGTGTATGCAGTACATAGTTTTCTTACTTGTTTTATCAATATATTTCCAGATCCTCTAGCAGTGATCCAGAATCCTTAGTTGTAACATGGTCAAAACAGAAAGATGACTTTACTACATATCCCGTTGTTGTGTGTAACTCTCTTTCAAAGACTTCTTTAACTTTATCTCATGGATTGGCTGACAGCCGTCGTAGTGTGTTGTCTTCTAGTATCGCCATATCCTTTGATCATCGTTGGTTGGCAGTTCCTGATAACCTTGGAAGAGTGCTTCTTGTAGATGCTCACAAGGAGCGTGTTGTACGCATATGGAAAGGTGAGTGGTCCAAAGATGTTTTTTTTTTGTTTTTCACTTCCAGTGTGTATGGTTTATATTTTATCACCTGCATACATAATATGATTCAACTGTTTAATCAAGGTTATTGCCCTACTTCAAGGAAAGTCTTGAAAATACAATAAACTACTACTTTTTACTAGTGCAAACTTCTTAAAATGGTGCATAATTATTTCTTAACTATTTTTATGAGGACACAAATAGTGCCTAAGTTTTAGTGGAACTGTGGCTCATTTGTTTAAGGCGACGAGTTTCAACCGATGGGCCACTGGTTCGAGCCCTGTTCCACCTACCGAGGTTTGGGCAGTCAGGTAGTATCACTGACCATTACACGATGCATGTGGCCGATTGTCTTACTCATATTTCAGCCTAAATTTATGTAGAATGCAAATGGAGTGAGTAGAATGTGGCGTAAATTAGTTTACTTGTTTTTAGTGTAGTTATCTGTTTATTTTGACTGTCCTTCTGTTAAGGTCTGGTCGAAGTTCCACTGTATTCATTCATGATTTGTGCGACATCTCCCTAATCTTAAATGAAGTTAAATTGTACGTTTAAGGAACTAACCAGTTTACAATTCCTGATTTACGACTGTTGACTAATAGCCATCGTAGATGTCTTCGATCTTTCCGGTAGCAAGTTTCTCTTGTTATCGATTCTTCTGTTGACTTGTGGTTTGGTTTTTCAAAAGATATATCCTCATTAAGACTATATTTTCACTGAAAGTTCTCATTATCAGTAAGGTGGAACAGCAAACTTTAGCAGACTGTTATCATCTCGGCGATCTAAATCTGCACCGCTCAATGCTACATCATTTAGCATAATAGCCACACTAGCAAGCTCGATCAATAGAATTCGATAATTCAACGAAGTCAGACGTGATGACAGTTACCCGATGACGACATGACTGATTGACTTACAAAATCAACGTAGAACCTCGCATACTGGCGTGTTGGTTCGAATTGCCACACTTCACAGTAGTACACAAAGAACAGATGGATAGAAAGGAGTGATATCAAAGTAGACAGAGTTGTATGAGAGAATAAACAATCTTTAGATAACGGATAGTGCAAATATTCAAGTTTTAGGACATGTCAAGGAGTGAATGCATCTGTGCCATTGTGACCAATTTTCAGCCATGTCACCAAGACTTCTCAAGCACCGATTTCTATCGTCTTGAGGACTCCAACATGGTAGTCTACATCTCCCAAAACAGATCAGACCAACAGTAAGAGAGTGCATCGACTGTTGCCACGTCTTGATCTCGCTACCCTGAGCTCTCCTCCAACCTAATCCAACTTCCTTTATCATGATACATCGAGGTAGGTGAAGGCTGGAAATGTGCAGTACATGTTCAAGCAAGTCATCTCAGTCGACTGAGGTTCACAACTTCATCAATCGACTTGCCTGTCTTGCCTAGTACCCTACACCTGACCTCAACATTGCTTACACGGTGATTCCACCATGCCCCAGCAATGCTACAAGGACATTTGTGATCAAAACCTTGTAACCGCTTCATGTCTTCCACTTTTAACGACCATATTTCACAGGTGTGTAACAGGACAGAATGGAATTCAGTGTAGTATAATCGTCCTTTGATAGATAGATGGATATCTCGTCGGTCACCGCCACAGATGCCAGTTGGGATCATCGTAATTCGCTGCACTAAAATAACTGAAACACTTGTCCGTTGTGATCCTGTCAAACCAAGAAATCTAGGTCAAGCAATAAAACCAGTAGCAGTCAGTCATAGCTTAAGTAGTTTGGGCCATAACAGAGTCCCAAGCATAAGTTAGACTGTTGGCTTGATCAAAATACAGTTATTTCGTTTATGGTATGATATTTCGTCAGGAACCACCGCGTTCTAGCTGGTGCAACTTGTCAAGTAAGTGAAGTGGTTGACACGTTCCACCATTTCACTCTCTATCAATAAACAGGGAGTGCTTGTAAACCCGTCCTGGAGCATCATCTTATATTTGACAGGTACCAGCGAAACTCACGCCAAACATATTAAGGACTTTGCTCAACGCGTTCAGAAATCTCTGCAAAATTTCAGCGTCTTCATCTGGCAGTACAATGTCCTCTGCATACTCCACATCGGATAGATGACCTTCAGGGAGTAGATCAATCCCTGTGCAATCAGACGTACATAGGGTTATGTCCATTAGTGAGTTTATATCAAAGTTAAACAGGAACAGTGACAATGAGCTTGGCTAACACACCACTGGTTGTCGTCAATTCACATGACAACTCTCCATAAGCCCTTACACGGGTGCGCGAGTTCTGGTGGACAGCTTTGATTAGCGTCATTTACTTGCTCGATACTCCCTTTGCAGTCGGTCACTGCCATAAGCTCTCACGTTCGACAGAGTGAAATACCGCCTTCAGGTCAACAGATATAGGAAAGGTCGACCAGTGGCCGGTAGGTATGCCTGTGTTCCAGAACTTGTTGGAGGGTTAAAATCTGATGGATGCATCCTCGTTCAGGTCTGAAACCTAACTGGTTTTCTCGAGTCTGCTGTTCTAGAGCCCCATTTAGGCGTCAGACCACTATGGGCTACGGGATCTCGGAGACGATATTAGTCAAACTAAATTCTTTACGGATTGTCATAGGAAAACTCTCCCTTTTTATAGACCGGGATCATCAACGAAGTACACCAGTCTGATGGCACTACCACTGATTCCCATACACTGCCTTCGTTTCCTGATGAGGCCATGGGTGCGCACTTGTGAGTCCCGTACTAAATCAGAACAGCTGTTGAGTGCTGCTTGGTTGTCTAACTGATGTTAGTGGTTTGTAAATATCATTGTGAAAATTTATTTCTCTCTCTGCTTTCACTCTCAGTCTCACAATGAATGGCTACTGAGATTATATAAACTGTTGCAAGCTTTAGTCCCCGTAATTAACTCCTTAATTGTCATCCTCTAATTTATGTACCCAAATTCTACTAACCATAACAGTGTCAATAGGCTATGCTTAATAATTTGTAATTGTAAAGCCTGACATGAATTTACCGAAAATAGATAGTTGCTTAAACTGTTCATTCTGGCTATCTGCAGTTGTTTTATCCCAACGTAGTGGATGGTCGTGTGCGTTAGTGAATCCATTGCAATACCCAGGAATTTGGTCTAATGTAAAATGATAGACTCAAAGTAGATTATCTAGAAAAAATCTCTGTTATTGATGTACATGCCTTGACACACAACGATACAATAAGTTGAGATGACGCAACTGTACTTAATTAGGTTCACTGTGGTTAGTTAGCGGAAAAGTGGATTATTGAATCTATACTCAACACAAGAAATAGGAGTGGCACAATAAATACACCGGAGATCTGAAAAATTTTACTACCATTAAAAGCGGAGAATATGAAGTGGCAGGTCTAAAAAATCAGGTGTAGAAAGTTGTGCAATTGTTTTGACACGAATATGAGCAATAATTTATGCTCGAAATATAACTAATATTGTACGACTGTGTGCTATATGAAAGAAATACTTTATGTTGGATAACGTTTTACTGTAGTGCCGTATACTAATGTCATGCTAATGGAACTGTAAATGTGGAGGTTTGTGTGCGTGTTTTAGCGGAAATCGGTGGTTTGCGTTTGTAGGTAATACGGCTCAGAATCGATCTAGTATCTCTTATCACTCTGCACGTGTTCCTCAACTGAATCATCCTTCTGAACTTCACTATTGTTTTATTCTTTCTTGTTGTCTTCTTACGACTTTTACCGTCTTAATAACTTCCTTCTATAGTTCTCTCTTTCATGTTTTTCACTCTGGTATGACGTTCTGATGTAAGTTAATTTAGTTGGGAAGAAGTGATCCTAATGGAGCTACTTTTCGGAATTCGTGGCTGATTAACGTTTGTACTGGATTTTCAAGCATTTGAATCGTGTCCACATACCAATATGCAGGCAACGAATTAATGTTATTTAGCGTCACACCGCAGATGTCTTCCAAAACCTGTAACAAAACTCTGTATTGTTTCTGAGTGTCATTCTTATTCGGATTACTATCCGAAGAGAGAGTTTTCCAACATCCGATCTAGTCTTATATATGGTTTTGCTATTCATGTAGGTTTGTTTTGTTCTGCGTAAGTATTAAGTAGAAACAAATCCTTGTCAGTTGAGGTTTTTATATCTCCTAAGAAGCTATATGGAGAGAAAAATGAAAAAAAAAGTGTAGTAGGCTGATACAAGTCCATTCGGAGATCAATGAACCTCAAAGTAAATCTGTCTTTGATTATGCGGAAATCGCTGATAAAACTGCATACAGGGACATGTTTCACTTTGAAGTTATATGACAAAGTTTACTTTATCCATTGACACTATGGTTCAGTATTATAAGTGTCTGCCTACTGACCACAAGATCCCTTTTTGTATAAATTCAGTCTTGTCTCTGCATACAGTAGTAAGTTGAGCGGGATACAAGTTCTGACATAGAATGCGAATCAAAAGACACTATAAATGTGCTTCTTTAGTTTGTTGGGAACAGCTTATTTCTCGAGATGATAAATTAATCAATTAAGCAATAGCGTCTACAATTTACACATATCATGCAACTTAAGATATAGGACTCACGCATTACGTCTTTCTTAAGTATCTTGTTAAATTAACTTCGTTGCTTAATTAATCTGAACTGACCAGACAAATCTATTTCTAAATTCTGTTGTTCAATAGGTTATAGAGATGCTGAAGTTGCTTTTCTTGAAGTTTCTGATCTGGAGACGCCTTCCATTAGCTATCATAGCCAACCCAGCAATGTAATTAGAAAAACGCTCTGTCTACTCATTCACGTCCCAAATCTTCATTTGTTGGAGCTTTGGTGTTTACTTCATGGTCCTCGAATTGTATCATGGGATGTAGTGGAGCCAGTTCGTCTTATTCAGACTACGTGTCACAGATATGTTTGTACAACCGAGTCAAACAAGTTGAAGTAAATACTTATACTAAAAACATTTTAATACTTTGCACTTTGAAGATTCATTACAGATACCCTTACAGGGAGTCAATCTAAACGTTGTCAAGTTGCTTTTTAATCCATATAACTTCCGAGTTATCTGTTTATAGTACGTTCGAAGTGGCCCATTCTCTTTTTGGTATATTCTTCTATTATTATAGTAGTTACTCGTCTGTTTATAGCAGCCGTAAGATCTTTATGTACGTGTGACCTAAGTGTGAAAAGTACCCATGGTTCCAGCTACTGCAAGCGTCCTTTGTGATCTTAGGGTTTAACTCAGTAGAATTTCTTTAAATTGTAAGCAGCACGGAATTCTACTTTAGTGATGCGTATGTTTGTACCGAAATTAGATTTCTTTCAATAACATCTATTCTGTTCCTAAACTTTTAGTTTTGATACTGTATTTGTTTAGGTCCAATAGTGTTGAAAATGTTACCAGGAAAAGCAGTAGTATTATGTGTAGGTTGCTTCAAGATATGCCATTTGTGTAGAATAAAGTCTTCTGTATGTAGTATGATGTGTAACTGGTAATCTGGGACTCTAAGAAAGGTAATAAAATCTATCTAGGTAGGTAGTTGATTAAATAAATTCTGCGTCGGTTTTCAATAAACAAACTTACCCACATCTCTGTATTTTTACTCATGCATTTCAAATTAAGATGTTATTATCTCTTCAGTCAGTGTGAAACATTCATAATAGGTTTAGGATGACAAGAATAGTCAGTCTGTATTTGTTACTCACTGATACTTATTAACAAAGTCCTCTTTGTTTATCGATCCATTTTGAGTCAAAAACCTGTAAGCGATTCTGTTAGTAATTCATGTGACATAAATTGTTAACAGAATCGCTTACAAGGTGTCATACAAGAATGTATTTTGCATACTATTTAGTGTCTGGATTAACCATGTATTTAATTCAACCTAGTTGACAATATTTCTTTCCTTTGATGAATTTGAAGCAAGTAACAAATGTGTGAGAAAAGAAGAGGTTTATGACTTTTGGTAGGACTATCAGCTCAATAGTCAATGCATCATCATCATCATCATTATCAACATAGGACCAGGCATTACTGCGTAACGGTCCGAGTTGCCACACCTCATATCAGCACATCAAGTAAAAAGGTAGTGAGGCGAAGGATGAAGATAAGTGAATGCAGTCAAAAGAAATATGGAGTACGAGAAGAAAGGAAAGACGAGTGACAAAATAATGAGATTCGGTATAGCGTTGTTAAGATGACGATAATGTGTGTATACATCTGCGCCACTGACATCGGTTGTGAGCAATGCCATCACCTACAGTCTCCAACTACTGGTTCCCCTTATCCGGTGGACCCCAACCACCTAGTCTGCATCGTCCTACATGGCTTAAACCAACAATCAGAGACTTCATACATTGGTGCCATGTTTTAGTCTGGCCACCTCGTGCCTTTTTCCAATCTGAACCCACCTCAGCCAACATTGTGTAAAGAGGCAATCGGTGACTAGGCATACGTAGTACGTGTCCCAACCAGCCATCTCAGTCGATGAAGGTTCACAACCTCGTCAACTGACTTACCTCTTCTCGTTAAAACTCTACACCTAACTTCTGCATTACTCACATGGTGACACTACGGAATACGTCCTATACTACGAAGGCAACACCTGAAGCATTTTGATATCTTCCACTTTCAATGGCCATGTTTCACAGCCATATAGTAGAACAGAGCGGACTGTTGTGCAGTTCACGCGACCCTTAATAGACAAACGAATATCACGGCGGCGCCATAGGTGGCGCAAGTTGGCAAAAGCCAATCGAGCCTGTTGTATCCGTGCAGAAATCTCATCGGCAACTAACCCACCAGGGTTGATCCTACTTCCCAGGTAAGTGAAGTGGTCAACACACTCAACCACTTCACTCTCTATTGTTAGCCGCGGTGGGGCACCGCTGAAGACCAGTCCTGGAGCAAAAATTTGCATTTGGGTGGTGAAAACCGCATCCCAAACATTCTCAAATTCCCACTCAAAGTGTTCAGAAGACTCTGCATCTTGTCAGCGTCTTCACCTAACAGGACTATATCATCTGCATATTCTAGATCTAAAGAAAATTCACCTGTGATCGGGTCAACGTCTGTGTAATCAGGTGACGAGAGGGAAACCTCCATAAGAATATCTATGATAAAATTAAATAAGTCAATACATATGATAACTTATATGAAATCTCAAAAGTTAGCATATATGCATCACCAAAATGACAACGTAATTATTCATTTCAACTAGTTGACTGTTAAAATGTGAAGAATCCAAAATTGTCTCTAGTTTAAAGACTAAAATACAGTTGCTATGATAATAAAATAATGTTAAAGCTTAGATAAATCTAGATTTTAATAAACTGTTAATGAAACGTGACAGTAATGCTAAACTATTGAATGTTTCAAACTAGATTTATGATATGAACATGAATATGTTGATCAACTACATAATTAAGATTAGAAATACTTCGAAACATACCAGCCAAAGGTTATTATTGTGCTATATCTTGTGAAAAGCATATCAAATAATCGAGGAAAGAAAGAGTAAGATATCAGTGCTAGCGAGGAAGTAGGGAAAAAGTTGCCATAACACGTCAAGACTTACCATCATTTTTTCATAGTACACAAAGATCCAGTTTGTATAGTCACAAAGGAAGCAAGCCAATGTGAACCAAAGTAATCTTTACTCATGATGACGCTGACATCAACAACATGATCTTAGTCTAAGGGGATGCAATTTCTCTGGATGGCATCATTAGAACTTAATAATCATTTAGGACAGTGTTTTCTCCACAAGTGGCTTTATTGTGTAGTTGGTCGAAGTTTTGTCAGTCTCCATATTTATTTGACTGGTAAAATGTGGAAATCTTGATTAGAGGAAATACAAAGGATGGCAGAAAATTTTTAGAAGCTTAGTATTCAGATCATTCAGCGCTTAACAGACATATTGACATTGACACAATCTATCAACCAATCGGAAACAACAAAAAGGTCACTATCCACGTCAGCAGGACAAAACTTCGGCAGGACCAACACAAGGCCTTCAGGACAAGCTACTAAGCCACTTGTGGAGAAAACCCTACAGCTCACTTCTTTTTGACATTTGTGCTGACAATGTTGTCTAGAATGACAATGATGAAAGCTTCGCGATCAAATCATCCAGCTCAGAGAATATGATGCCATCAGAGTTGTCACTTCCTAATTTAGGACTTTCAGAAGTAAATATCCATGAGTCTGTAAGAGGTCGAACCCAAGGCGCTTAGATCTGGTTACGAGTATGTTGTCATTCAGTGGTAACATTCTACCGTCCAGATTTTCCTTGCCAAAGACTCAGTAGATTATGCATAGCAATTGCGTCTGTACAAGTTATGTTTGTGTGAACTTAGGCTGGGTAGTAACTTCTGTTTTGTAACACACACAAACTGACAGTGTTTCTCAGTTTGTTTATTGTTCTTGTATTAGATAGTTTCAGTTACTTTCTATACACCAAGGGGTCTCTCTCATAAGGTGCTTATTCTTTTGGCCTATAAACCATCCAACCCCTCTTTTCTATTTCTTTAACTACATCCTATTGTCGAAAACCATCAAGACGGCATAGATATAATGAATTTGAATCACATCAGGTTGTGTTACGAAGCACCTTTATGAAGTAGTCTTCAATACAGTCCGATACAACCCCAACCTTACATGATATCCTGGTGAGTGTGAAAGTCATGTAGACTGTGTTAATTGAGAAAAAAAAACAATACAACTTACTCAACTCGGAGCTGCTAATTCTATTAAGGTGGCATGAATATGAAACCTTTCATGTTCATCAAACTAGATGAACATAGAATATACACTTCTGTTTTTTTTTGCTGTTTTTCCCTGTCTATATCTTTGCTAGGCATGGACTGATAAACTTTCACTAGAAGGTTCAGCGCATAAAGGTTATGTAGTAATTTTTGAAAGGATTACAAAAGTGGATTCAAGTTTAACTCTATCTAATTGTTTGTTTTTAGTTCTAAATACTGCCAGATGGTATTAATTGATGCCTCTGGACGTGTTTATTCTGTCGCTTTGAACCATGGTCTGTGTTTATCCGATAATAATACGGAAGCAGCAATGGATTATCAGGAATATAAAGTACTTCAAAGGATCTTTGAAATCTTGGAACAATCGGATAACTTAAAATTAGGTATGTTTTTTATATTATGTTGATTTGATAATGTCATGTCATCACGCGATTAAAAAGAGGTTTCTGACTGTACTTTTGAGGTGATTGACTTCATGTAAGCAATTTTAACGTGTATTAATCTCTGTATCAGATAAGTGTTGTTAACCCGATACTTTGGTCACTGGAGAGTAACCGATCTCATGGTCCTAAGCGCTGACCGAATTCTGCCGATCGTTTTGCAATGTGTTCACCAAGCTAGGAGGCTCATCGTCGTGGTGCACTGTGATGGATATGAGCTGGTTAGAGCCGGTGAGCAGGAAATCCTGGACCTAGGTTTCGTGCTCGTTAGCACTTGTCAGCAAGGTCTGTCTGCAACCTTGGGAGGAGTGTTGTCACGTCTGACATTGGAACCCGCATCACCTAGTGCTGTAGCCATCTACGTTACCCAACCGATATCTGGTATTCTGGCGCGACGATTGGGCTGACATGTCACAATAATGCGACAAGAAACACTGAATGGAACGTCTTTTCCCTTGAGGTCCTACTGTACCAGGAAATTCCGTTGAATAGGGTAAAATGCAAAGTAATTACCGTTGTAGTGTAAGCCGTTACACTGTGATGGTCCTAGGGCGAATTCATACTGCTGGTTAGATGTGTGACGGCGGTAAGATGTTTCCTTTAGATGACCAGAAGTTCCACGCTGGTGTCACCTTCCTTACGGTAAAAGGGGGGTTAGAAAAGGTCGGCCCCTAAAACAGTGCTCTCCCCCTTCCCTATGGCCTTCCGGCACCAGCTTTACTGGTTTTTTCTCTCTGGCGTTAAAGCAACCAGATTCCACATCAGCAATCCTTAAAATACTATGTGTGACAGATTTCGAGCAGATGTCCCACGGGCTCTGCGGTCACCTAAATCTTTTTTTCCATCTTTCACTTAGGAAGAAATAGCCTCCAAGGGCGTGGGCAGCCGGGTAGTGTAAACCGCCCACATACTTTCTGTAGGATACAATGTCCAATCAAACGTAACTTATCGGGCATGTATATGTGGGACACCAGTGTGGTTATTAAATTCACCTCACCTATTCGAAATTCGCCGTACAAGTGTAGGCATAACATTGAGCTGTAAAACAGAAAGAGCACTTCTCAACTGGGTACCGGTCAACAGCCATCTGTGTGCTGTTCAAATGAATAGATCTGTAAAAACTAGGAAGGATTTTGAAACTAGCTGATACTTATTCATAATTTCCGCCTGCGCATCCACCGACTGTAGTTTGGATGATGCAAAAGGTGAATTTGTTGAAAACCGTCAATTTTGCTAAATGTTCTGATATAGTCATAATAGAAGACAAACTTCAAAGCCCAGGTAGCGGAGCTGAGTTAAGTGAAAAGGCATCGTAGAGGTATCTACGGAATCCCATGCCAACAAGTCGATAACAGTGATCTTCTGTTGTAATTTTGTTTCTACGATCACTTGTTTCTGGCCAGTACTAACTTCAAGCACGAGGAGAGACACTGTCTCACATGACATCCGCAGACATCAAACCAACGACGGATACAACTAAATCATATGGCTATTAACCATCGTTGGAGAGGATTGATTGAAGATTGGCCTTCTTTCTGGGGTATCTGTTTCGACTCCGATTATGCATTGGTGCGGGCTCGTGTATATTTGCGCCTTACTGGTCGCAGAAAACAGGCAGCAGATAAGTTTGTGCGTGATCGATTAGGAGATGATGTCAAGTGTGTAGTTAGGGATGACATAACTTTGCACTTATCTGAAGGTGACAGCAATCCTTAACCAGTGGAAGCCTGGTGCTATATTATATCTACTATAGAAATAGCGGCAAAGACAATTGACAACCTACACCCAAACCTCAGCAAAAGTAACTTCCGCAACGTCATTCGAACTAATTCATGCGAAAAAATTGATTCTAGCGGTCACCGACCACGATGAAGAGCGACACCAACACAAAAGTTCACCAAGAGTCCTTGCGTTGATTGACAGAGGTAGTGTGTGGCGAAAACCGAAAGAGGTGGGGGAAGCATCCTCACTGGGTAACACTTGGCCACTATTTAGGCTTATTAAGGAATACTGGTTAGAAGAAAACGATGGTTAGTGAAACCATCACCGGAAAGGATGGGACGCTGATAACCTCCCATAAAGGGCAGCTGAATCATAGGGAAGAATACTTTAAGGCACAGTTCGACTCACCCTGAACAAGACTGTAGCTACTCAACCTGAATGGGATCCAGATGTCAATCCTCCAACACTGTGAAGTTGAGAAACCTATCTCGAACGTGAAACGATGCAAACAAAGTACAAAGACCTGACAGTTTGCCATCTGAAGTTTTTAAAGAAGAAGGCAGGAAATCGCTAATTAAGGTAACGAATGTATTAGGCAGTGTATGAGACTCATTGGTAGTGCCATTAGACTGGTATACTTCACTGATAGTCCCGGTCTATAAGAAGGGAGTTTTCCTATGACAATCCATAGGGTATTTAGTTTGACTAATATTGTTTCCGAGATCCTGTAGCCCATAGTGGTCCGACGCCTAACTGGAGCTCGGAAACAGCAAAATCGTGAAAAGCAGACAAGTCGCAGACCTCGACGAGGGTTCATCAATCAAATTTTCACCCTTCGTCAGGTTCTGGAACATAGACATATTCACTAGCAGCCAACACTTGCCATATTTTTTTGACTTAAGGGCGATATTCGACTTTGTCGATCATGAGGTGTTGTGACAGTGCCCGACTGTGAAAGGAGTGAGTACCAACCAGTTTTGTAACGCTAATCAAAACCTTCCACTCAAACTCATACAACGCTTTAAGAGCTTGTGGAGAGTTGTCATCAGAATTGACGACATCTAGAAGTTCTCGCTAGGGATGCCCACTGTCACTGTTCCTGTCTAATTTCGTTATAAACGTATGAATAGACGTAATCCTAAGTGCTTCCCTGGAGGGGGATGTGGTTGATTTAAAGGCATACGATGTTACCCTGCTAGGTGAACAGAATGACAAAATGCAGAGTCTTCTGAAGGCCCGGATCAGAAATCTGAGTATGTTAAACATGGGTTTCGCAACTGGCACTTGTAAAGTGGTGCTTGAGTACTGGCCTACAAATACTCCCAGTTTAATGATAGGGGGTAAAGTGGTTGAATGCATTGACTACTTTGCTTAATTGGGGAGTTGCATTATCCCGGACGGTCTAGTTTTTGACGAAATGTTATGTCGGATATAGAAAGGCTATTTGATATTCGCCAACTTGTATCATCTTCCGCGTCGACTGGCAAGATATTCAACTACTTTTTGAAGGACAAGTTTATTGCTCTGCATTCCATACTGTCCTGATTTACAGTTCTGAGACATGTTCGTTAAAAGTAGAAGACATGAAGCAGTTTCAGGTTTATCGAACACTGATGCTTTCGTAGCATCACTCGCGCATAATGGAATCAGCATGGTAGTAATGTCGAGGTTAATCGAAAGGTACCAGTCGACGAGGTTGTGAACCTTGCGAGATGGATTGGACATGTGTTGTGCATACCGATTCACCCCTCTCTTTGACATGCAACGTTAGCCGAAATTGGATTTGTTTGGGAGAAGATTGAGGGTGGCCAGACCAAGATGTTGCACCAGTTGATGAAGTCTCTGACTGTTGGTGTGAGTCATGTAAGGAGATGTATTCCTCTTTGTTGGTATCCTGTAGATAATAGGAATGAGTGGTTGGAGATCTTTGATGACTTGCTGAAAGTCGATGACAATGGCGCATATGTTTTTATTGTTCTTTGACGTTTTCTCAGGTATGAAGATTTTGACGAAGCGTGAGCTCTCAATTCCTTCTCCTCCTACACATTTTTGTCTACTTTGATACCACCCTTTTTCTCTCCACATATTCTTTTGCATGTTACTGTGCAATGTGGCAACTTGAATTGGCACAATTCCGTTCGAGATCTTTCATTACTTTTTTTCTGTGTCTGTCTGTCTATCTGACCTATTCTGTCCGCTACCGATCTCTTGTGGGACTGCATTGTATGAATGGATTTTTGTTAGCACTGAGGACTATACAGCATGAATTTGGTTGTTCTTTAATGGCCAACCCATGTATGTAATGCAGTTCTACATGAGGTCAGTCGCATTTGAAGCGTAGCTGACTGCATATGGGTGTTACGCATGCTGTAATTCTCAGAGGGGCATCTCTTTCTTCATGGTTTCGTAGGCATCTTGCTGACGAATGCTAACGAGCACAAAGACTAGATCGAGCATGGCCTCCTACCGTTTACCTCCAGCAATCGAACATTCATCACCTTCTCAATAAGCTGAGTAGTATCTTTTTCTTCATCCCTATAGGGATTCGTTCTAGGTTCATCAGTTGAACATTAGCGAATGTCAGGAAGTTTCTTAATATATCTAACGTTCTTGCAATTTGAATTTGATACCCTACATATAGTATCATTTATCTCTGTATTTGAGTAACTGTAATTATGGAATCGTACAGATTCATTTAGTGCTACTACAAGTAGCCTTTTCATTTTCATAGATACCATGAAGTTGACAATCTTTGGAAACAACTTGTCATTTTCCGACATTATACGTAGTTTATCTCAACTGATTATAGGGGGGCAGGTAAAAAAGACAACCAAACACTAATGAAATTTCCATCAACGCTTTAGAATGCAATGGATAACAAGTGTTTGTCAAGTGCATATATGGTCAATCCAACAGTCAGTGTAACTAAAAAACAGTTATAGTGATGCCTTTATCTTAAAATAGTTTTTTTTTGCAAAACCATGCTTGATTTTGTTGTAGTCTCTGATGCTGACTTTTCACTTTCATTTAAGGATTCAGGGAGAGTTTATTATGTGAAACTGGGTGCAAGTTTGTTGATTAGACCCTCATCCAATATTAATTGGATTGAATTCGAGTTTACAACCATGTAACTAAAAATCGAATCCTAAGACCATTGAGCCACAGCTCCACTCAGTGAAAATTATCTCCATTGTTTATATATTAGTCGTCATATAAAGTAACCATATTTGAATACTTCACTAGTTTTTTATTTCTCATCTACACACCATTCCCATTTCCAGATAATTTATGTATCATTACCTCATAGTTTATTCTCCACTGTAACCCTACTACTTCGTAACCTATCACTTAGTTCCCCTGTTAGTGTTACTATATAGGCTATGCTACTGCCATGATAACTGGTGTTATCGAAACTGATCATTTGCCAAGGCACTCACAACTGAAAATCAGAACAGTTGAGAATACCAATGAACATACTGGCGGTTACGCTTAAAAAACAAAACAACTATAAGCCTATGGCGAGTTGTCCAGGGAGCTATACTCATCAAGTGGTGTCCGTCAAGGATGCCCACTATCCCCATTCTTATTTAATTTTATCATAGATATTCTTATGGAGGTTTCCCTCTCGTCACCTGATTACACAGACGTTGACCCGATCACAGGTGAATTTTCTTTAGATCTAGAATATGCAGATGATATAGTCCTGTTAGGTGAAGACGCTGACAAGATGCAGAGTCTTCTGAACACTTTGAGTGGGAATTTGAGAATGTTTGGGATGCGGTTTTCACCACCCAAATGCAAATTTTTGCTCCAGGACTGGTCTTCAGCGGTGCCCCACCGCGGCTAACAATAGAGAGTGAAGTGGTTGAGTGTGTTGACCACTTCACTTACCTGGGAAGTAGGATCAACCCTGGTGGGTTAGTTGCCGATGAGATTTCTGCACGGATACAAAAGGCTCGATTGGCTTTTGCCAATTTGCGCCACCTATGGCGCCGCCGTGATATTCGTTTGTCTATTAAGGGTCGCGTGAACTGCACAGCAGTGCGGTCTGTTCTACTGTATGGTTATGAAACATGGCCATTGAAAGTGGAGGATACAAAAAGGCTTCAGGTGTTTGACCACCTTTGCCTTCGTAGTATAGGACGTATTCGGTGGTGTCACCACGTGAGTAATGCAGAAGTCAGGTGTAGAGTTTTGGGGAGAAGAGGTAAGTCAGTTGACGAGGTTGTGAACTTTCATCGACTGAGATGGTTGGTTGGGACACGTACTACGTATGCCTAGTCACCGATTGCCTCTTTACACAATGTTGGCTGAGGTGGGTTCAGATTGGAAAAAGGCCCAAGGTAGTCAGACTAAAACATGGCACCAATGTATGAAGTCTCTGACTGTTGGTTTAATCCATGTAGGACGATGCAGACTAGGTGGTTGGGGTCCACGGGACAAGAGGAACCAGTGGTTGGAGACTCTAAGTGATGGCATTGCTCACAACCGATGTCAGTGGCGCAGATGTATACACACATTATCCTCATCTTAACAACGCTATACCGAATCTCACCATTTTGTCACTCCTCTTTCCTTTCTTCTCATACTTTATATTTCTTTTGACTGCATTCACTTATCTTCATCCTTCGCCTCACTACCTTTTTACTTGATGTACTGATATGAGGTGTGGCAAGTTGGACCGTTACGCAGTAATGCCTGATCCTATGTTGATAATGATGATGATGACTATAAGCCGAAATGCATTCAATTAGTAGCATCTGCAGATATATTTAATCACTGATTTTATCCAATTACTACTGACTTGTTTTTGTAGCACTCAGAATGTGACTTGACCAAGTTTAATTATCGATGAATCGATTTCCTTGTAAGTAAGTAAGCACTTAACAATAATGAGTTTATAAACAAAATTATCTACTCAAAGAACCGTTATATTGAAGGACAGTACTGAGTAATGATGGTCATAAAATTTGTGTATGTGATGTTTAGTTACTTTCAAAATGATCAAAGAAAATATTAATTTAACTCAATAACAAAGTGTCTGTCTACGTACTAAATGTGAACCACATATTTCCTAGGGTTTTATAACACTGTACAAGGGTATCTTTCAAAGTTGTGTTGTCGAGCTTAAGTAGTAGCAGCAGTTATTTCTATACATTCTCTACCCACTTGAATAAGATTTTCTTCTGTTAGACGTTCTGCTTTAATTGGTTGCGTTATAAAGAATAGAATTTGACCATTGAGATGAAGTAAAAACTCATCTTGAATAAGTTTATTTGATGATATTTCCCAGTAAAGAGTAGTATCATCTTCTGAATGATATTTTTGAGCACAATTTTATTTCAAGGCGATCATACAATTTTCTGGTTTATGATAACTTTGTTGCTGTGCATTATTTCTGTTTAATGGTATTAAAATTTCCCACATTATCCATGATCGGCTTTGAATCATTCTCATTGCATGTGCTACATGTTGGTTCAATGGACAGACATCCAGTAATCAACTTCTCACCCCATGTAACTACATAAGTTGTTAGGACTGTTATTATGTCTCATCTTGTTGTATATGATTATTTGTTGGTGGCGCATGCATAATCATCTCTGTTTGTCAAAACAACATCAAACATGCGCATCAGGAATGATTCAGTACTGAATATCTGCTACTTTTTTTTACTTGCGTCGGTATCGTCCAGACTTCAGTTTTCAGGATACTGATATCCATCATAAATGATCATATCGTTCAACTGATCATCCAGCAGGAATGTTTAGATGCCTTGTGTTGCAAAGATCCTGTACCATCTATATTTATACTTTTATCAGTCATATGAGTTTTGCTGTGAATATTAGTAAATATTACGTTTTTAGGATATCTTAGCTTTACAAAGTATAAATTCAGGAAAAACGTAGAAGGTGACGTGCATATTTCGTGGAATTTACGTGGACTGCTCTATGACTATTGTTTAATACGAATATTTGTTGAAATCACTTCAATGAAGTAATTACGGAGGTGAACTCATATTCCAGACAAAAACAACATTAGATTATTACTTCTCTACCTTTAATCTAGATACACTCTTTGTAATATTGATATTTAAGTAATATATTCATTGATGATTGTTCTTACAGAGGAATTTTGCCATGGAGTAACTAACCTTCTGGTTCAATTTCGAACAGTGCAGTGGTTTGAGAGAGCACTTACTCATTTACTAAGTTATCCAAGCCTTAGTCCTCATCTAATTCTGGACGTTATCAAGCTTTGTATTCAGTTGATAAGCAAAGGTTAGTTGAAACGTAAAGTTCTTTTTTCCTTTGTATTACTTCCATATTTTTACTGAACATGAAATAGTCAATAAACTAGTGTTTTCCTCACCGTTTTCTCATTATTTGATGAGAGAAAACATACCCTACCGTGTGTGTAAAATGTTTCAAACACTAGATTGTGACTAAATGATTTAGAAGTGATGTGATTGTCAGAAGACTGACGGTTCTGATTTCGACTTCATCTGAACTACAGCTGAACGATCCAAGAGTCTTGAAGCGAGATATGTGTTGCTGTTCATTCTGACTCTTTCGTTACTTGTTTGGTTTAGACCAACTGTATTTAGTAAACTTTCATAAAATGAACCCAGAACTCTTGAAATGAAGATTTTGGTTTTTGATAAGCTCAGGAATTTATACACTTGATCATCTTTAGGTAAAATCATGGTGTTAACAACCGAAATATCCAGATACTGCTTCTTATAAACAAAGAAGTAGTTGCCGGAAGCAGTATCTGGTCCGGTAGAATGGCATATTAATCTAAATTAATACGCTAGAAATCTGTAAAATAAATAAAACATAACTATTGATTTTTGTAATTACAAAAGTGTAAGAAACAGGAAGAGAGACACAAAAAACAAGTTAAGGGGATGGTAAAACTCATTAACTAATGAGATATTCGTTGCCTATAAGATAATAGAAAGTGTATGCATAGTACAGAGATCGATATGAACCGCGATATAGCGCAGCCGCCACCCAATGTCATCGTTGAGTAACTGTCTTCACGACCATCAGACTTGACTATATCGTGAGCTAACAGAAGTTGGAAATATGGAGCCATTGGATTCTGACCCAGTAGCTCAATGGCAACACGCTGGTCATGGAACCTGAAGGTCGCGGTTTCGATCCCTGGTGGTACGGTGTCGTGGATGCGCACTGCTGATGAGTCCCATACTTAGTTGGACGAAACAGCTGTCCAGTGCTCTCAGGTTTCTTTTGGTTCCTCTAGTTGATGTCAGTCTACAATGAATAACAACTTGAAATATTTTCAAATCTCTACAACTTCTTCAAAATTATAATCTATCTGAATTGCTCAATTATTTTTTTTGTACACTTTTATTATTTTTCTATACTTCAAATTTATATTTAGATGGTGATATAGATAAGCAAGTCAACTCAATGAATCTAAAAATATGTACAAATGTAAAATATTTAGTTGAATTCTATTTAATCTTTTATTATCTTTATGATCATCATACTGAAACTGATGAGAAATATGAATTCACTAGGGAGTCGTTGAGTACATGCGTAGAAGTAAGTATTTTTTTTTTTGATGAAGATAATTATTTTCATTGTTAGCTTGTAAACATTTAGTGATTTTAAGAGTAATTTTCATAAGGGAGAATTATTGAAAAATTTTAAAGTACTAAATAATTGTTTTGTTCCAGTTTGAATCACCTTAGTAATGCGCATTTGTGAAACGTGATAGTTTTCTGTTTGATCTTATACGGGATCATGGGTGCATTTTATTATTATTATTAGTCCCTTGAGTTCCTAGTGGAACATAGGGCTTCAGTAGCACGTCTCCAGTGACCTCTGTTCTCTGAGATCTTTTGAACCTGGTTCCACGACAGCCCAGAAGCTCTCATTTCCTCCTCGCACGACCTCCTCCATGTCACCCTCGACACCGACGTCCAACTCGTCGCTTCCCATGGGGATTCCACTCGAGGCACTGGCCTGACGCGTGATGTCCTCAGTCGGCCTTCTCAGTGCATGGCCAATCCATCTCCACTTCCTCCTGCATATTTGTTGGGTGATAGGTTCTTGATTGGTTCGTTCCCAGAGCTCTTTGTTGCTTATTCTTTCTGGCCATCTGATTTTCAGTAGCGAGCCGGCGTAAGCAGTTGTTGATGAATATCTGTAGTTTATTGGAAATGCCTTTCGTGACGCGCCAAGTCTCTGAACCATACAGAACCACTGACTTGACGTTGGTGTTGAAAATCCGGATATTGTTCACGCTTTATGCTGAGTGCAGAAGATCTCCACACTGGTTTCAGGCTAATGAACACCTGTCTTGCTTTCATGGGTGCATACTACTAAGATATTCTAGTCTAAGATGAAATAGGTATATTGTGCTATATTATTGTTAATCTGATAAAAATTACTTTCATAATTCCGTTTCATTTAAATTTCGTACTCACTTGAAAAATTGACACTGATAGCTTACACTTCTACTTATTGTTGTTTGGCTTCGTTTATAGCCTGAATGAAGTTAATGCATATACAGAATTTCATATCAGATTTATAAGTGAGGTTATTGGTTCGTGATTCGATGGATTGTGGAGCAAGTTGGAGTTGAACACAACAGGATATCAGTTTAAATTATCATAGTTTAGGTTAGAACCATTCGGTACAAGTCAATATTACGAGTAAAATACTAAACAAAAGATGAGAGAAAAGACTTGACCGAAAAAAGGTATAAATAGATGCAAGTTAATTTTAAGTTGTAGAACCAACTTAGTAGAACAAATGCATCTACTTCATTGCGGTTCATCCATGACTAAGTTATTCAGTCATTAAGTCTTAATATCTCATGAAAACAAAATACAGCAGATTAAATTTACACCCATTTCATTTACAACAAGTGCTCATTTCATAAATTAGTGCGCTCTCTCTATTGTTATAATAATTATTTGTCCCTTGGGTTCCTAATGGAACATAGGGCTTCACTTCCACGTCTCCATTCCACTCTCTTCTCTGCAAACTTTTCAACCTGGCTCCACGACTGCCCACAAGCTCTCATTTATTCCCCACAAAATCTCCACCACTTCACCCTCAACTGGGACGCCCAACTCGTCGCTTCCCATCTGGGTTCCACTCGAGGTGCTGGCCTGACGCGTGATGTCTCCACTCGGCCTTCTCAGTGTATGCCCAATCCATATCCACTTCCTTCAAGTGCATATTTGTTCAGCGATAGGTTCTTGGTTGGTTCGTCACCAGTCAGAGTTCCTTGTTGCTGATTTTTTCTGGCCATCTGATTTTCAGTAGTGAGCGTAAGCAGTTGTTGATGAATGTCTGTAGTTTATTGGAAATCCCTTTCGTGACGCGCCAAGTCTCTGAGCCATACAAGAGCACTGACTTGACGTTGGTGTTGAAAATCCAGATCTTGTTCTACATGCTGAGTGCAGAAGATCTCCACACTGGTTTCAGGCTAATGAACGCCTGTCTTGCTTTTCCGATCCTGACTTTGACATCCTCGTCTATACCGCCTGTAGTTTAAACAGTGCTTCCTAGATAGGTGAAGGAGATTACTTCAAATTTTCTGGGTTCAAACATCGTGCGGACATTCCATGTCCCACGTTTACTTTCGCTTTCATCGAGAGAAGACATATCGGCCAATTGGCTTCCCTACTGCAGGCTTTCACCAACTGGCGTCATTTCGCCTCTCCGATTCCAGTGAGGAATAATTTTGTTATTATTTTTTATATATCGTTTGTGCTTTGAAGTTTGTTTAGCGGTAAGATTTATTTTACGGGGTAGGGTTGCTAGCCCCATGCCCAACCTTCCCTCTTTACCCGGGCTTACGGCTGGCTAGTAACTACTGAACTAGTTAACCAGACGAGATTACATGGGAATATAAACCTAGCCAACGATCTAATGTAATAAACTATGAGTAAAGTCAGTTAACTATAGCGTACAAATTTAGTTGGTTGTCATACGACATAACCATCAGAAATATAACCACCTCAGTCACTTTGTTTAAATAATCAGCTTTCTTCATTAAATTACTATTACGAGTTCTACATGCTGAGTGCAGAAGATCTCCACACTGGTTTCAGATTAATGAACGCCTGTCTTGCTTTCCCGATCCTGGCTTTGACATCCTCGTCTGTACCACCTGTAGTTGAAACAGTGCTGCCTGTCGAAATAGGTTAAGGAGGTTACTTCCTTTAAGTTTCTCCCGTTGATGGTGATTAGAACTTGTTGTTGTTGTTGGTTGGGTATCTTCATCACCTCTGTCTTCTCTATATTCACTTGAAGTCTTGTCTTTGCTTCCCTGCCTCGCCTCTTCTGTCAACTTGTTAGTTTTCGCCTGTAGACCATCAAGTTTGTGCGACACCAGACACAAGTCATCATGGGCTAAATCCATATTTTCTAGGTTCTTTTCCGCAGTCAAACAGTGTACCTCTCTCTTCTCGCTCCTCACTGTTTGTTTCATGATCCAGTCCACTACAATCAGGAATATGATGGGTGATAGTAGACAGCCTTGTTTTACTCCTGTCTTCACTTCACTTCAAAGGCATCACTGAGCTTCGCATTGTGAATTACTTTGCATGTGGCGTCGTCATATAGTTGTTGAATGAGGTCGATAAAGGTTTGTGGTATTCCGTAGTGTTGAAGCAACTGCCAAATTACTTGTCGGTTGACGCTGTCAAAGGCATTTTCAAAGTCGAAGTTCAGGTAGAGAGTTGGCTGCCATTCTATGCTCTGTTCTATAATGATGCGTAGCGTAGTGTTGCAATTTGGTCCGCACATGATTTGTAATTCCTGAAGCCTGCCTGTTCCGGTTGTAGTTTTGAATGCAGTGCATCCTTTAGCCTCTCCAGGATGATGCGGCATAATATTTTGCTTGCTTTGGGTGGACAGGAGCATGATTCTGCTTCAGTTCTTGCAAACACTGAGGTCTCCCTTCTTCGGGAGTTTGAGAAGGTAGCCCTTCTTCCAATAAATGGCCAGGTACCTTTCCTTCCTTTCAGACCTTCTGCAATAGTGGGGTGAGCATATCCGCTGTTGTCCCTGCGTCTGCTCTCAGTGCTTCCGGTGGGATTCCATCTGGCCCTGCTGCTTTCCGCGTTTGAGTAGCTTTATGGCGTTCAGGACTTAGACTTTCGTCGGAGGATTTGTGTTCACTGGTAGTTCTGTGACTGGGCTGCAGGTGGTATTTCTGGACGAAGTGCAGGTGGTGGTCGATTCAAGAGCCTTTTGGAGTGGTCAGCCCATTGTTTCCTTTGTTTCTCTTCTTTGGTAATTAAATTTCCTTCATAGTTTCAGTCAAATTACAATTTATTTTAAAATTGTTATGGACTGTGTTACTACACTATAGTGATCACAGATTACACCACTATCAATTGACAATAAAACAAAACGAACGAAACCAAAGTAATATATCAATAAAATGCATTGAACTTATCGTATTTCTGAAAATAGCCACTTATTATATCATTTTAACAATCCATTTACTCATGAATTATTCAGATTATTGGGTAACAAGTTTACTGGGAAACATCATGTATGCTTTTTTATCAGACTATCAACACGCGATAAGATAGAGTTTTTTTTTTACAAATAACTGCACATAAATAGTCTATACATTAAACTAAACTCTCTCAGCAACCATGTGTTTTGTCCATGCAGTAGGCAGTGAACCACACCTATTATGTGAAGGTCAATCAACCAATCAATCAATATCAACATGACAAAATGGTGAGATTCGGTATAGCTTCATTAAGATGAGGATAATGTGTGTATACATCGGTTCTGAGCCATATCACCTAGGGTCTCCAACCACTGGTTCCTCTTGTCCCGTGGACCCCAACCACCTAGTCTGCATCGTCCTACATGGATTAAACCAACAGTCAGAGACTTCATACATTGGTGCCATGTTTTAGTCTGACCACCCCGGGTCTTTTCCAACCTGGACCTACTTCCGCCAACATTATATGACAAGGGGATCGGTGACTGGGCATACGTAGTACGTGTCCCAACCAGCCATCTCAGTCGATGAAGGTTCACAACCTCGTCAACTTATTTACCTCTTCCTCCTAAAACTCTACACCTGACTTCTGCATTACTCACGTGGTGACACCACGGAATACGTCCTATACTAGGAAGTCAACGGTGGTCAAACACCTGAAGCCTTTTTGTATCCTCCACTTTCAATGGCCATGTTTCACAGCCATACAGTAGAACAGAGCGGACTGCTGTGCAGTACACGCGACCCTTAGTTTTATTGAAATTCATTTTTTGTATACCGGTTTTTATTTCACATCTTTTTTTAAAAAAAAAACAACTTTATTTCTAACATAATGAACAGTTTATAGCGGATCTGTTGAGTTGGGATTCAGAGGATGCAAAACACTGCTTACAATTATATACAATTTGTGCATCAGTTCTAACGACTAGTATCAATTCTCTTAAAAAACCGATTTCTATACAAATATTCGTCAATTCATTTCAATATACATCTGTTTCAAATACTGAGATGAAGTATACATCATCTGCTTTAGTAGAGCATTCAAAACAATTTAATTTGCCGAGAATTCGTTCAGATAGTACTTATAAAACATTAACAAAAATAGGTGAGTCCCTTAGAGTTAACTCTTGTTTAGAAAAATGAATATTTTTTGATGTTGTAACTCTTTTTTTATAAACAACATTCAGTCACTATAGTTGTTACGAATGTCCTAGAAGAATCAGTCTGAACAATAAATCAGCTAACCAATAACTGAAATATAGAAATTTTTATATGCACCATTCGACTGTATATATTTTAATGTTTTACTAAGGATTCAAATATTCTGTTGAAGTGATGTGATATACACAGGGAACCATTCAGAAAAATCTTGTTTTTTAATTTTTTTAAACACATTGTTGGATTAAATTAAAAACTTACTTGTATAAATGAGTCTTGATTCCTTTGTTGAAATGTTGCATCTGTATGGTTGACGTCATAATATATTTCAGCTACTAGCAGCTAAATTCTTAGAATGAGAGCTATATCATATTATGGTTTCAATAATCTGAACATTCATGCAGCTGTAAAATGTTTCAGAAGAAATCTCAAAGCTTGTAATACACTAAATACTAATGAAAACGAAGTATATTTCGAGCTAATTAGTTAAGGTTTAATAAAAGAATAAGTTGTAAGAAATGTATTTTTGTTGTTAACTGACTTACCTACACCGATGATACTGATAACATTTTCCCTTCATTTTAGGATCTTTTGTCTTTACACCCTATTTGAATGGCCTACAAACATTTGTTTCTCTACAAATAATCATTGAATCGTCTAATTTAGACCCGAAACTACTCTTGGTATGTTGTTATCTAGTTTCATTTGAGTGTCCTTCGAGTTCCAGTTTTCATTGAAACCTTTTTCCGTGTTCTCATCAATAACGAGTTAGATTACTGGGATAAACTTGAATATCAAGTGGATATGATCACTTTACTACTAAGTGTATGTCATTTGTATAATTCCTATGTAGTAAGTATATCAAAATAAGCTGTTTTAACAAGCTTTGCAGATGGCGCAAAGGGTTTAAAAAAAAACCCCAAAAAAAAAAAAAAGACTGGGAACGAACCAACCAAGAACCTATCAGTCAACAAATATGCAGGAGGAAGTGGAGATGGATTGGCCATGCACTGAGAAGGCCGACTGAGGACATCACGCATCAGGCCAGTTACTCGAGTGGAATCCCCATGGGAAGCGACGAGTTGGACGTCCGAGGGTGAGGGTGACATGGAGGAGGTCGTGCGAGGAGGAAATGAGAGCTTGTGGGCTGTCGTGGGACCAGGTTCAAGAGATCTCAGAGAACAGAGGTCAGACTCGAAGGAAAAAAAAAGTATATCAAATAAATAAATACTTTCAATTATTCATCAACGTTTAGATCCTACTAGGAAGATTTTTGAAGAAAATGAATCCGACATTAAAACAAGCAACAAACGTTATCAAAGCAGGAGTTTTTTTTGAATTCATACATTACTCATCAGCCTTTTTACTTTACATACACGATTTTGTATACTGTTGTACGATGGAGGAATACATACACATATAATACATCTGACTAAGACATTGAATGAAGCATGACAACACGGAGTGAATAATTTAACTTATGCTGAATAGAACTAAGACTAGGTTGGAGAGAGTAAAGAATTGATGATGATCAATAAAAAGGTTTGAGATGGATTACATCATTTCGAACAGAACACCTAGTAGTTAGCTAGATGGCTTGAAAAAGGTGCACATTGAGGAAAAGCTGGGCAACAGTGTAAAACTAAAGATAATAATAATAACAATGGCAATGCAGATAAGTCATTTAACTGTTAAGCGAAGAAGTTCAAGCCTGTACGACGTTGCAGCAGAATAAATACAATAAAGAGGTAAATATGCTAAACAGAGAAAGAAATAAAATGGAAAAAACAAGACACTAATAAAATACTTTAATACCTCTACCATAGTAGATTGAGGGTGACTACTATTTCTTTCTGTACACATGGGCTAGGTTTATGAATTCTAATCGCACATGCTTCCCTCGACTGCAAGCATTTTCTTATTCCACTGTCTACTGACAACTAAAAAGGTTTTAGTAACGTCAACGTCATGTCGGTAATCCATTAGATGCTTCATAATCGAACTCCTTGGGATATTTGATTCGTCTTGCCTTAACCATTTAGGTAAATGCTCAGTCTACTTATACATTAAAGTATCGTATGTATTTTGCTCATTACTTCTTCAAGTGTTTAGTATTCTTAAGTCATAATCAAGACATCTAAATTTAGCTTTTTTTCTTAGTAGTAATGTATCAGCCTAAAAAGATTATCATTTGCTTATTTTTTTACACAACATATTCATTCAGTGCTTTATTTTCTTTAAAAGATGAAGGTGTAAAGCATTAATTTAGGCAGTTAATATTCAGCCAATATGTCATGGGTTCGAACCCCGGTCAACCTATTGAGTTTGGACAACCAAGTAGTATCATTAGCCCATACACACAATAAGTGTGACCCATAACCTGTTACACAAATGTAGTCGAGGTTTGTCAGCACGTTTCAGTTTTTCTTTTTTGTTCTTCAAAATCGGTTAAAGATTTCTATGGTGAAACTATCATGACACTAATCGTTGCATATAAACAGTACAGTTAACCGGGTTTACTTTGAAAGAAGCAACACCCTGATGCAAGTGGCTTACAATTAGGCAAAAAAAGCCGTGTTCTTGATTGTACTTCCTAGAAATTCTATATTTTGATGTACATCTGGTATGATAATGGACTGAGTAGCTATAAAGGTGGGGATTAGTTGTAAACAATGTGAAAAATGAAAAAAAAGGTACTGATTATTGATTTTTGAACTCGTAATAGTAATTTAATGAAGAAAGCTGATTATTTAAACAAAGTGACTGAGGTGGTTATATTTCTGATGGTTATGTCGTATGACAACCAACTAAATTTGTACACTATAGTTAACTGACTTTACTCATAGTTTATTACATTAGATCGTTGCTAGGTTTATATTCCCATGTAATCTCGCCTGGTTAACTAGTTCACTAGTTACTAGCTAGCCCTAAGCCAGGGTAAAGAGGGAAGGTTGGGCATGGGGCTAGCAACCCTACTCCGTAAAACAAATCTAACCGCTAAAGAGACTTCAAAGCACAAACGATATATAAAAAATAATAACAAAATTATTCCTCGCTGGAATCGGAGAGGCGAAATGACGCCAGTTGGTGAAAGCCTGCAGTAGGGAAGCCAATTGGCCGATGTGTCTTCTCTTGATGAAAGCGTGGGACATGGAATGTCCGCACGATGTTTGAACCCAGAAAATTTGAAGTAATCTCCTTCACCTATCTAGGAAGCACTGTTTCAACTACAGGCGGTATAGACGAGGATGTCAAAGTCAGGATCGGAAAAGCAAGACAGGCGTTCATTAGCCTGAAACCAGTGTGGAGATCTTCTGCACTCAGCATGTGGAACAAGATCTGGATTACAACACCAACGTCAAGTCAGTGCTTCTGTATGGTTCAGAGACTTGGCGCGTCACGAAATGGATTTCCAATAAACTACAGACATTCATCAACAAGTGCTTACACTCGCTACTGAAGCTCAGATGGCCAGAAAAAATCAGCAACAAGGAACTCTGGGAACGAACCAACCAAGAACCTATCGCTGAACAAATATGCACTTGAAGGAAGTGGATATGGATTGGGCATACACTGAGAAGGCCGAGTGAAGACATCACGCGTCAGGCCAGCACCTCGAGTGGAACCCAGATGGGAAGCGACGAGTTGGACATCCCAGTTGAGGGTGACATGGAGGAGATTTTGTGAGGAATAAATGAGAGCTTGTGGGCAGTCATGGAGCCAGGTTGAAAAGTTTGCAGAGAAGAGAGTGGAATGGAGACGTGCAAGTGAAGCCCTATGTTCCACTAGGAACCCAAGGGACTATATATATATATATATATATATATATATATATATATAATATTCCCATGCAAGGTTATGTGAGTCAAAGAGTTTTTAAAATGATCTGTTCTTATACAAACTCTATAGTAAGAAGTTTTGTTTTAGGTTTAAGACTACATATCATCTAAAGATGATTTCACCCATGATATCATTCCAAGGAAACTGTAGTTTCGCCATTCAATCATCATCATCATCATCATCATCATCATTCTACATCATTCTGTTTATACAGCTTACATAATTTTAAACAGGGTTGTAATATACCACAGTTATTGTCCTTCTCAACTTAATATTTAGATTATTGACTCTGTTATTTATTTTCATTGGAATTTTTTTTAATTATTATAGCTATCCTTCACCTTGTTTATACTGAATGAGGATAACTATATGAATTTACCTATTTTAATCGATCGAATACATCGTATATTTTGTTATTTGATATATCGAATTCTAGTCGGACTATTATCATCTTCATCATCATTATTATCAGAAAAAGTGGAGGAACAACAAGGAGTAGACAAAAATTCTGAGAATGAAACTAACATTTATAACTTTCTTGACATTGAACATAACAGATCTAGTCAACCACATTCAAAATTTGATTATATATGCAAACAGGTGTATATGTATTGTTTGGATAGTTTTCATTTAACATCGGCTTATTTAATTGCATTAATAATGCGTTGTATACTCTTTCAAGTATGGCAAGCATTTGAATCAGGAGAGAATATTTTGCAAATTTTGTTTACATGGATACAAGTAGGTTGTATCATGCATTTAATTCACTTTGAAAAAAATACTTCTTTTTTGGTTATTTCTGTTTGTTATACATAATATTTTAAGTTGTTATTCATCGTAGACTGATATCAGTTGGGGAACAAAGGAAACCTGGGAGCACTGGACAGCTGTTTCGTCCGACTAGTATGGGACTTCTCAGCAGTGCGCACCCACGCCCCACACCACCAGGGATCGAACCCGCCACCTTCAGGTTCCGTGGCCAGCGTGTTGCCATTGAGCTACTGGGTCAGAATCCAATGGCTCCATATTTCCAACTTCTATTAGCTTGCATGATATTTCCTAAGACAATTCTCACTTTACACTAGACACACTCACTGTTAAGGTGATAAAACGATTGAAGGTGTTATTACACGTTTATAGTATGTGTGAGAGTTTTGTTTATATGTTTACAAATTGACCTCTAGTTTTTGCAGAGAGATGTTGATAGTGTATTCCAAGAAGTATTCCTGTTATGTATCTAAAAATCTTGTTAGGGGAAGCTTGGCTGACCTGTAAAACATTTGGTTTGACTGTTAGTGTGGTTAACATACATCAAAGTTCTCTGTAATTTTGAAAACTGAGATTTTTCTAAATCCCATCAGAATACTATGCGGTCTTTTATTTTACCTCAATAAAGTATGCAGAGAATCTTTTTTTTTACAGAAGAGAAACCATTACTAAGTCAGTTGGTGAATTTTTTCTAAACCAATCAGTAGAAGCGTATAAATGAGGAGACTAGGACCAAATGTGATGTAGTAATGTCAAGATTTGGGTAAAGGTGTAACTAAAAGACGTCAAATAAATGATTTAAACAAATACTTATGAGAGGACTGTTAAAGATTGACAAGCAAGTGTAAAACGTGAGAAGATACTGTATCTACTCAGATTGCTTTACGTCCTAACGCCATCATAAGAAAAGGGAAAAAAGGATCTAACAATAGGAAATGAAAAGAAAGGGAGAACAATATTTTTTTTTATATAATGGTAGAATATTCAATTATGAACATTGAGGCTATAGTTGTTACGAACGTTGTAGATATCCTGAATATTCTGCGTAAGCAGTTGTGCTATACAAAGTGAAACGTTCAGAAAAATCTTGTTTTGATTTTTTAAACACGCCGGGATAATATTGAAACTTATTTGTGTTAGGATATTTAGAACAATATAAAATGTAAATGTATATGCAAAAATACAGTTGGTTGTGAGAACTTTATGATAAGTTCTAGGATCCGTATAGTTGACTTCATTGTCTGATAGTATTTAATTACCTACTGATTCTAAGACTTTTTCTAATCTACTTGCTTGTTTTTTTTTTACAGCGTCCTGATTTCATGTTAAATAATTCTTCTGTGAATATGACTGCAGTTGACAATGATTTTACTAATCAGTTAACTGAATTTACTAAGCTATCCAGTAATAATGATGTTGGTCTAAAACTATCATCAGAATTTCTTGCCTATTTTACATCGAATTTACAACATCTTGTTGATAAATGGCATCAAACATGTGCTCAATTAGAGGACATTTTGTCTGTCGGACTGATACTATCTCATTCATCGACCATAAAGAAGGAATCAAAAGATTTTCGTCAGTGTCCATTCAATTTTAATCTAAGATGTGTGTTAGCTAATGGTCGTTGTAAGTGGAAATTCTCTTTCTAGATGCTTATTTTATAAAATATTTTTTCTTGTATATGGAAAAAAAATATATTACATTTTCCTATGCTTTGCTATCGATTTTGGACACTTGTAGCTCTACCATTCACTTTTCAGTTGGTACTAGTATTCTCATATTTGTAAAACATGAGATGCTCTTCAGTGAGAACGCAAGGAGACTATTTATAAACAAACCGAATGATTCGACCACATAAAGAAAAATGGTTTAAAACAACAGAAAACCGTCAAATTTGAATTTTGAGGTAAGAGAAGTTGGAAATATGCACCATTGGATTCTGACCCAGTGACTCAATGGTAACGTGCTAGGCACTGAGCCTGAAGGTGGCGGGTTCGAGGGTGCGCACTGCTGAGGAGTCTCGTACTTGAACGAAACGGCTGTCCAGTGCTCCCAGGTTTCCTTTGTTCCTCCAACTGATGTCAGTCTACGATGAATAACAACTTGAAATTTGAATTTGATTCCGAAGTGACCGAGTAGAATAAAACCGTAGATTATAACGATACGGAACGCAGTGATACACAAGAACTGAATACTAATATGACTATTCCTCCTTAGCACTTTATTCTTCACTGAATCACGCAAATATCAAAATAAAAAAGCTGACTTATGACTGCAAGGAAGACGATGACTTTATTTCATAAACTATAGTATATATAAATACAATTCTCACGCACATAAAAATATCCTAGGCAAACAATAGAATTATTATTATTATTTGTTCTTTGGGTTCCTAGTGGAACATAGGGCTTCAGTAGCACGTCTCCAGTGCACTCCCTTCTCTGCAGTTTTTTGAACATGGCTCCATGACTGCTCACAAGCTCTCATTTCTTCCTCACACGATCTCCATTTCACCCTCCACTGGGACGCCCAACTCGTCGTTTCCCATCTTGGTTCCACTCGAGGTGCTGGCCTGGCGCGTGATGTCCTCGAATGGTCTTGTTAGTGCATGCCCAATCCATTTCCATTTCCTTCCAGTGCATATTTGTTGAGCGATAAGTTCTTGGTTAGTTCGTCACCAGCCAGAGTTCCTTGTTGTTTATTCTTTCTGGCCATCTGATCTTCAGTATCGAGCGAACGTAGGTGTCAACTATTGATGAATGTCTATAGTTTGTTAGAAATGCCTGGTTAACTAGTTCACTAGTTACTAGCCGGTCGTAAGCCCGGGTAAAAAGGGAAGGTTGGGCATAGGGCTAGTAACCCTATCCCGTAAAACCAATCCAACTGCTACAGAAACTTCAAAGCACAAACAAAATTTAAAAAAATTGAATAGCACAATCGTATTGGCTACATCACATACAGAATCGTCCATTAAGGTTATTTTGTCCATATATACACACCAAAATCTGAAACAAAATCACTTCTACCCCAACCACCAATGACATAGAATGTTGATTTCCATTTTTTGCCGCTTCCCATCACATTTAGATATCTGCAAATAGGCAATAACAAGATGTTTTAAGCAATTACACCTATTGAATAAGATAATGAACATCATAATTCTGTGAAGCTCTAACGTTTTGAAACATGAATTTCTGGTTTAATCAGGACCTTAGAAAGACCAAAATACTGTACTGCACGGATACAAAAGGCTCCATTGGCTTTTGCCAATTTGCGCCACCTATGGCCCTGCCGTGATATCCGATTGTCTATTAAGGGTCGCGTGTACTCCACAACAGTCCGCTCTGTTCTACTATATGGCTGTGAAACATGGCCATTGAAAGTGGGAGACATGAGAAGGCTTCAAGTGTTTGACCACCGTTGCCTTCGTAGTATAGGACGTATTCGGTGGTGTCACCTCGTGAGTAATGCAGAAGTCAGGTGTAGAGTTTTGGGGACAAGAGGTAAGTCAGTTGATGAGGTTGTGAACCTTCATCTATTCAGATGGTTGGGACACGTACTACGTATACCCAGTCACCGATCGCCTTGTCACATAATGTTGGCGGAAGTAGGTCCAGGTTGGAAAAAGACCCGGGGTGGCCAGACTAAAACATGGCACCAATGTATGCAGTATCTGATTGTTGGTTTGGGTCATAAGGGGGCGATGCAGACTATGTGGTTGGGGTTCGTGGGACAAGAAGAGGAACCAGTAGTTGGAGAGTGTAGGTGATAGCATTGCTCAGAACCGATGTTAGTGGCGCAGATGTATACACATTATCGTCATCCTAATGACGCTATATCGAATCTCACCATTTTGTCACTCCTCTTTCCTTTCTTCTCGTACTTTATATTTCTTTTGACTGTATTCTCTTATTTTCATCCTTCACCTCACTACCATTGTACTTGATGTACTGATATGAGGTGTGGCAAGTTGGACCGTTACGCAGTAATGCCTGGTCCTATGTTGATATTGATTGATTGAAAATGTTGTACTATACAAGTATATCCAGCTGAGAAGTTTGAAGTAACTATTTATTTGATTTAAAACTGAATTTCCAAGAGGAAAACTAATCAGAAGACTTATTCGCTGAGAAAAGTTTCAATGTGTTAAGAATCTACTTGCAGAAACAAAAGTGGCTAAGCGTTTGGCAAATCCAGAAATACTTCCACCATTGGCTTCGTGTTGTATATGTATATATGATTAGTCATCGATTTGTATTCATTTTCAGTTAATATTTGCAGAGCTCTTATGGTTTACAAAAGAGTCCTGTGAAATATTTTCATCTTTTTTTTCCTAATTAATTCGTTTCCAGCCTACATAACGGGTATATTCGCATCGTGGATTGTGAAAAACAATATATTACCTGAACAAGTTCTTTGCTTCTATCAAGAAATATGTGCTAAACCATTGATAACTGATGATTACAATGGAAGAGATTTGGCTGTTCGAGATCCAGACCACATAAGACAAGGTATATATATATATATATATATATATATATATATATATATATATATATATATAAATGATACAGAAATAAGTTATCGAAGAAGCAGTCTCAGAGATGCATTCATAGCTCTCACTAATTTTCTTTTACTTTTCTGTAGTGGAAGAAACAATGAAACTGCCGCTTGATCACCATAGTTTTCTGTTCCAAAATGTATCTGTTATTGTCTTAAGCCACTAGGTTGCACGATATCTCAGACTGCATCCGAATAACCATGAGGTACCTGCAGATGCTAACCTGATACAACTGTCTTTCATTAGACTACCGTATCACATCATACCCTGACCACCTCTTCACTTCTTCCAACCAATCCTATGGCGTGCCAACAGTGGGTGGTATGCAAGCTGCTGTATTGACCTGCGTAACACATATCCAAGCCACTGAAGCCCTGTTTTTTTCAAGATGACCACAGTCAATTAGTGCTAATCTTCACGTCCTGTCATCTCAGAATTATTTACATAGTATTTCCACCGTATGCAGGTAATCATGTGTAGACGATAGTGATCGTAAATGCAAAGTTGTTGAATATCCTCAGCTAGGAGAGCCCAGTTTTTACAGGCATCGGCAGAACTGGCCACCGCAACGAGTTGTGTAACCGACGTTTTATGGCAACATTAATGTCATGAAGATGCCAAAGGCTTATACCACTCAGATCTTCTATATATGGTCAAAAATATCATCTCTCATATCTGCACCAACAATCACACTGCTACCTGCAGACGCAAACCTCTCGACAACTTCCTGGGATTCACCACCAACGTGAGTACTATCAGAAACCTTTGTCAATCTTGTAGAAGCACTTTACACTTCGACGATGTAAAGCACATACCACACTTATGGTCAGTAATTGCCAACTGATTTCAGCAGCCTGCATGTTGTCGTCCAGCAGAACAATATCATCCCTACATCCAAGGTCAAAAAGTCTTTCATCTGGTAATAGGTCTGCTCCACCACCACATCATACCTCTTTCAAAGCTGTCTTGACAATGCCATCGATGGCAAAGAAGTGAAATCAGGAAGGTATGACTAAACCCACTGTTGGTTCTAAAAATGAAGAGAATTGTCTGTATATCCTTACTCTATCTGAGGTCCTAAAGTATAAGGTTCTCGAGAGTTTAGAAACTTGTTAGGTATGTTCCTCTCTAACGGAGAATTCCAGAGTGCAAGCTTGTACAGCGCATTGAAAGCAATTGTGATATCAAGATACACAACGATTGTTGGCTGGGAATATGTGTGACGGTGTTCGAACACCTGATGGAGGATTAATGCGTGATCAGTGCATCCACAAATCAAACAAACCCGATGTGTTCTTCGTTGATCAGCTTTTCTTGCATTTTACAGAGCCTGTGAAGAATGATAACAACCAGTAATATAAATGTTACTGGTAGAAGACAGATAGCGATGAATATTACTTGCATTATGTGGACTCTTTTTAAAAATGTTTGCTACAATGGCTTCGTTTCAGTCTGCAATACCTTCCGAAACAATATCTTAAGTTCGCTAACTATATTATCAGGTTTATCCTTAAAAAAAACTGGTAATAAGTTGTCTGGATCAAGTTACATTTGCCGGTTTGATATTTGAAGTTTCTCATGGACGCTGCCTCATTAAGCGAACCAGTTTTGACTAACCATGGAGCTTAAGATACCGAGGTTGATGTTGTTAGAGCAGTAGGTCAGCTGAATTGCATTGCGAAGTGCACTATCAAGTGTTTGAAGCGCTTGGGAAAGTTGTTAGATGGCGCACCATAGACTGTTTTGTGGAGACTAGGCTTCTTGATTCTGGTAACTCAAATGAACTGGGACAACTTTCTATTGTCGCTAAATGTATCTGCTGCTTCCATCTCACTTGTGCGTTCCGGAAACCGGGCTTCACAGTCCTTATGTTAGTGCTGCGTTTTTCTCATAAAGAACATACACACAGCATTGTGTTTGCTGTCTGTTGGAATAGCATGAGTAGTTGCAAGGCGCTCACAAAGATCCAGTGTTTATTAGCGGGAAATTCTTAAAGACTGCAAGCGACTTATCTCGTCATTTTCATGTCATCTTGTAGGTGTAGATAGTAGTCATCTATACTTTCTGGATGTTCGACAATTGGGCTTGAATCTGGCTTCCTTTCATATTTAGTTGCGGTGCTCTTGGCAACCGATTGAACCCGTTTAGGATAGCTGTTTTGATGACCAGTGAGACACAACCCTAACTTAACACACACTAAAGTTTGATTGGAGCACAGACTGACACTACAGAAGAAGCGGGAGTCCTGGATGTGCATGGCGTTGGCCGGCGGCAACTAATGGTAATACGATCTGAGTGAAGGCTCGATTAACAGTTCAAGGACGCCAGGTACGACAATAGTAATGACTCTGCTGGGAATTGATGTTAACTACAAGTTTGTGATATGCAGACATGTGTAAGTGATGGTCGCCATCTTTAGACCTGTGATTGACTGTCTTGACTGACCACATATGCTACCGTCATCTGCACTTAGTCACTTGGTCTGTATGTTCAAGTTTCCAGCTAGCACTACGACATTTTCCGAGCACATCTGGTAGAGAAGGTTACTCGGTCGTTGTTAGAACTTCTGACGGAAGTGACCAAAAGACATTGTTTCCCTTGCCAATTAGTTCTCATTGTGATAGAATTTTCAGCCTAACAGCACTCAAACGACTGTCAATGGGGTCCAGGGGACTAATACAGTCTCAGCCCTGGCACTTAGTGGAACAGCAACACCAGCAAGGATAGATACCGAATCTACTGGGTTGTTGGGTAAGCATATAACACACGGGCTTCAAACTGACATGAGAAAGTTATTCAAAGTTCTTCAAAGGGATATCAGATCGAAGCAGAAGGTTGTTTGACTTGAAGTTTGATTCACAAAGCAGTGGAACAACATACGGTGCCTCGTTTTCATGGTTGCTGGTGGTTAAGATAAGTTGATACTCCCTACATCCATTCTGGATCATGGAGTTTACTAACTCTTATTGATGAAGCCTCCGTGTCTACCTATCAGGTGATAGCGCTGGATATTCACTTTTACCCTCTCACTTTTGTGAAAAACAGCCCCAGTGAAGGCATCGAGTAGGGCTTGGCTTGCATGGGTTGTAAAGGTGTAGCCGTGTGAAAGCATTTCGAAAGTCTGATCTGGATCTCCACACACTTGAGCATACCACAACATATGCAGTTCTGTTGGTTCATTTATTGTAAATGCACAGTGCATATACTTTTTGCTGTTTCAAAGCAGCTGTTACTGTGGGTTGGTAGAGAGCCGTTAAATGCTAAAGAGCACTGAAGAGCTAATTCATTTTATTTCCACGACATCTCAGCAGTATGAATTCGTTTATGTAAAAAAGATTGAATCGACATTCGTCACCTCTCACAGTCAGTAGGTTACCTTATCCAACTACTAGTTTTGAATTTATTGGTTCACCTTTTCTAACTTTTGTTCAATCGCTGTACGCTTTCATCATCATCCAGTGTTATCAACAGGCATTCATACTATGTATTGATTGGTCACAGAAAAGCAACCAACTTCATGTTATCTAGTACTGAGTACTAACCGAATCTGATCGATCATATTTGCAATGTGGCCAGCAAGCCAGGAGGTTCAGCATCGCGGTGTACATTAGTAGATATCAGCTGGTTGGAGGCAATCAGCATGAGTCCTGGATCTAGGTTTCGTGCTTATTGGCACTCGTCAGCAAGGCGTATCTGCAACTCAACGGAATTGATGTCCTACTAAGGTTTGAACTCGCGCCACCAGTGTTTTAGTCAGCGACTTTACCTGAGTGTCAACAAGCAAGAAACTAGGTCCAGGGCTTCCTGCTGATTGCTTCCCACCAAGTAACATCTAGATTCATACTATCCTTCAATTTGCTTAATTTCATAGATCATGACATTTACAATTCAGTCAGCAATGAACAGTGAATTGATTGCACATAATCGTTATATGTATGTGGTCAAATTCTGGACTAGTTAAAGTTTATCATTAAAGACTCTCTCTTTTGCCAGAGTTTAAGTATCTGTAAATTTCTATTCGTTCAATCAATTTACTCGTAAATATTAATGCATTTTATTTTTCTTTCGCTAATTACATTTTAGTAATTTTCTCACTAGCCTATAAACGATTACCTTTCACACTAGAGTTGGATACAGTATTATCAACTGTTTGTTGGATTCATTTTCAAATTTGGCGAAATAAACCTGAGGTAAGTATTTAGTTGTGTACTATAGCAAAAATCATTTATTGCAATGACTTGTTTGCATAACACTGAACTGAACTTTCTCAACAACCATGTACTCATGTCCAAGCACTAGACAATGAGCTGTACGTATTGTGTAAGGATTAATTATACTACCTGGTTGCCGAAACTTTTGTGGGGGAGGGGGGGGGGAGTGAAGTTTGAACACTTGACTCACTAGTTGAAAGTCAACAACCAAAACCAATATATCATACTTTCACCAATGACTTACTTAGTACGTAAAAGTCACAACAAAACTTATAGTATGATAAGTTAGATCCCAATAGTAGAGGTTTAGTCTTCACCTTGTTTACCTTATTGAGCAAGATGATATAGCTACTTCTCTTTTAATGGGTTTTTAGTGGGATCGAACATATTCTGTGTGTTTCAAATTGTTATTCATCGAAGACTGACATCAGTTGGTGGGATCGTGGATGCGCACTGCTAAGAAGTCCCATACTAGTCCAGTGCTCCCAGGTTTCCTTTGTTCCTCCAACTGATGTCAGTCTCCGATGAATAACAACTTGAAATATTTCTAAATCTCCACAACTCCCTCAAAATTTAATATTCTGTGTCTTCCCTGAGTTTTTTTTTTTCATCTTCATTTCCCTATGTTATAATCTTTTTGACATTGTAAATCACTGAATAGATGCTGTTTCACTGTATTTTCTGTTGTATATATCTCTCACCTATCTTCATCTTTTTATTGTTTTAATGTCATTTTGAATTATCAACTATTCATTTCATGTTCATCATAAAATAATGTTAGTTTGAAGCGTTTTAGATAAATTTAATCTGTCTAACCTTATTAGATTAACATATTATGCTCTCACACAGTTGTCATTTCATACATTTACAAAACCTTGTATACATACTTCTATGTTGAATATCATGGAGGTTGTGGCTCATTGATCCTAAACATTTGGTTTCCAACCGTTAGATCATGTATTTGAATCCTTTTCCACCTATCAAGTTCTCGACAATCAGACAGTATTATTGGCCATCATACAACAGGTATGATATATTGTCTACTTCATGAGCATGTCCAATGTTGCTAAGTGGATTTTTTAATATCAATTTCTATCATTCGAAATAAGTGTAAATTTTAAATTTTCTTTTCTTTTACAGAAAATAAATCATTTAGTTTATTGCATTGAATTTATGAAACGATTCACTTCAGCTGGTACAATGATTGTTCAAGGTTTAGGAACTATGATATGGCACAAAGGTCTCATTGATTGGTTTAATCCTATTCTAGCTATTGCAAGAGGTGGTGATAAACTAGTAAGTGTTCTTATCAACTTTAAACTATACACTCAGTGATTCTATTCCAACTTGGCACATTCAAAAGATATTTCTCTCACAGACTGTTATTATTTATGGGGAAAGAAAAATAATAACAACAGTGTTGCTAGACAGTAGTTTTGTTCATTGAGACAGTGAACGCTAAGTTATATTCATTCAGGGTTCAATGTCACTCCCAGTGGCTCAGTGGTAACGCTCTGGCCGCGGAACCTGAAGGTCGCGGGTTTGATCCCTGCTAGTGGGGTCGTGGGTGCGCACTGCTGAAGAGTCCCATACTAGTCGGACGAAACAGCTGTCCAGTGCTCCCAGGTTTCGTTTGTTCCTCCAACTGATGTCAGTCTCCGATGAATAACAACTTGAAATAATTCCAATCTCCACAACTCCCTCAAAATTCCATATTAATTGGTTAACAGGTCTTGATTTCTTCTTCTTATACTTATGTGGAAATATAACAAAAAGGTAGAAAATGAATTCCGTTAGTACATCGCATACCTTCATGTTGTTTTGTCAAGACTTTGTAACGATGACAAACTGTGTCATCTTTCTATAAAACTGTAGGTTTATACAAAGTAAACACAGTTACCTTCAAATCGATTTTGCACATTTAGTTGTATCAGAAGTGTTATCTAGTAAACAGTATTGTGTCAGTTTGTTTTGTCTGAGAGAATGGTTCAGTTAATCTACTTATACTTATAGAATAATCTTTATATTTCACAGTCTTGCACAGAGTCTCATCAGTTCTTACTAACTGGCTTTAACACTACATGATTAATACATCTAAGGTATCAATTAATATTATTATTTGTCCCTTGGGTTCCTAGTGGAACATAGGACTTCAGTAGCATGTCGTCATTTCACTCTCTTCAACCTGGCTCCATCACTGCCCACAAGCTTTCATTTCTTCCTCACATGATCTCCTCTATGTCACCCTCACCTCTGACGCCCAACTCATCGTTTTCCACTCCAGGTCCAATCGACTATCTGGCCTGATGCGTGATGTCCCCAATCGATATTCTCAGCTTCTTCCCAATCCAATCCATCTCACCTCCATATTGTTGGGTGATGGGTTGCTGGTTGGTTCGTTGCGAGCCAGCCGGCCGGCCAGAGTTCCTTGTTGCTTATTCTTCTTATTCTGGTCCTTTGATCTGATCTTCAGTATGGAGCAAGTGTAGGTGGCAGCTGTTAATGAATGTATTTAGTTTGCAGACGACATACGTTTTTATACTTATGAAGAAAGAATGTTTAACAATGCAAATAACTGGCCTATATCATGTAAGAGGATAACTAGGGCACTGTTAGAGTATAATTCTAAGTTAGATTAGTGTATTTGACATAACTCAGTATTACAGTACTATATGTTGGATGATTTCTTAAGTAAAATCTTACTGTTTGTAGTTATATTACATAATTTTCCAACTTGTTTCTTTGGTCCAACAATTCCCTAATTTTCATAATATCCACAAATGGGTGATAAGTCATTTATTTTACACTCAGATTTTACCTTAAACATTGATTGTATTAAGCTTGTCAATGAAATCACATTTGTTTGAAAAAGCCTACCTCACCTGACTGTCAGCTATGCCCACGTGATTCATTTTTATTACTACTTGGAGTTGTGTTAATTTAGTTGAATTTCACTATAATTGTAATTCAAACGCATCAGTAGCCTAGTATATTATCATTATCATTTGCCTGGTTGAATCCAAGATGCGCGTTTCTCCTACTTTATATTTGTCACTGGATTAACCTACATCTTAGTAAGTGATGGTATTCCCACTGAGCCTCAACCCATTTTCCATCAGTTCAAATACCAGAGCATTATGTAGTAGGCTACTGAGACACGAAAAATCGAATGGAAATGTTTTCAACAACTTTACTCACATTCTTGCAGTAGGTAATGAACAACACTTATTGTGTGAGAACTAGTAATACTATTTGACTTCCCAAATCTCTGTGGGTGGTGCTGTGTTCGAACCCGTAACCCAAATTCAGCAGTCTAAACCAATGAGCAACAGCTCCGCACTAAGACACGATAGCTATCTCTTGTTCACGGAGTATGAATTCTTATCATTTATTGATAGTTATCCCACTGTTTTAGTGAATTGAATTGATCAACCTCTGGTGGCATATGAACTCCTATGCGGATGCCTCGATATTGCCTGAAAACTCGTTATGATATAATTTGCTTGATGGTTACTAACAGTGAAATCTAAGACCCAACAAATAACAACATAATGGATATTCAGGCAATTTTGAGACATCCGCATAGGAACCTATATATTAACAGCGATCGATCAACTGGATCCATTGTAATGGGGTATTACTTGTATCTATAAATAATAAATAGTAATAATACTTTGTCGTCTTAAACAGAATTCGAGCATAGCAGCGTCTAACTGTGAAGGAAACATTAAGCAAATATATTACACTGATCAAGGCTCTTTACTCGATCTCATGCACCTTCATAGGAAGCCATCACCTTAAGAGACGACAACTAGTGATGCCGGTATCACTTTTTGTATTTAAACTTGTGATAGAGTTGCTGATGGATATCATCCTAAGCACCTCCGACTTGTAAAGAATTGACTGCCCCCACCCCTGGTGTGGACCTATCTGACTTGGATAACGTAAACAGTATAATCGTGGTAGGCAAGACGCTGGTAAAATTCAGTCTTCTGAGTGTCTTCTATAAAAACTGAACATTATTTTGCATGGATTTCGCACCTGTCAGATGTCAGATGACATCGAAACTGGTCTGTGCCAACTCCTTTTTAAAGATGTAACGAAGTGGTGAGATGTGTTAACCATTACTTACTTGTGGTACCTGCATCGGCCGGAATGGACCAGTCGCAAGTTAAATCTCAGCTCAAACATAAAAATCCTTTCGGCACTCGCCAAATTACACTACTTTTGATGTCGGCGAGATACGCATTTACAAACCAAAGTGCGAGTTTACTGTGCAGCACTGTGCTCTGTCCTACTAAGCTACTATGAAACATGGTTCTTAAAACTAGAAAATATTAAAAGATTACAGACTTTTGACCATAAGTGTCTTCGTAGTATTCCTCACTGTGTATGGTTTAAATGAAAAGAACTGGGTAAGGAAGATAATTCAGTTAATAATTTGATGAACACTTGCCAGCTTACGTGACTTGGGCGTGTATTTCGCATACTGAGCGACCGCTTACCCCGACATGCAATGTTAGCCGAAGTAAAATTGGGTTGACAGAAGACTCAGTGTAGCTAGACGAAAATGTAGTACTAATTCATGTGCTTTATGACTATTGATGTGCACCGTGTAGGTAAGTGTAGACTTCTTTGTTGGGGTCCTCGAGATAATAGGAATGAATGGTTGGAGACTAAGTGCCATGGCTTAAAATCGATCTCAGAGGCACATATGAGTCCATGCATTATCTTCACCCTAACCTTCATATCATCGTCTATTCTTGTCTTCCTATAACTTATGCCTCATTGTTTTATATTTCTGTATCTTCTATCCTGCTACCTTGTAACCTCGACGTGCTAATGTTAGATGGGGCAACTTAGACCGCTAAGCGGTATCCCTAGACCCCATTTTGTTAGTCTATCTAACTTTTCGTCTGACCGATGTAAGTGTGTGTTGGAGGCCTCGAGACGATAATAATCGATAGTGGGAAACTGTTTATAATATCATTTTGAGTGGATTATAGGTAAAGTTACATACAACTAATGTGTCACATGTACTCTAAATCTGATTACTACTGACTACAACCATGTATACTTTCTGCCCTCAAATATACCAATAACAGATGCTTGAACCTTTTTTGTTTGTGACACACTAACAACAACAAGAGGAATATTATAATTTTCTTCATACTCTTTCTTAATTTTTATTATCTTCTAATTGTATTTCTAATTTCCAATGACAAATTTCCTAATTCATTGTTTTGTCAAAATTTTAGTTTGATAACAATCGTGATTGTTTTCCAAACATATTGGATGTTTCAATGTGCTTGATTGAATTTTTCAAAATATACTCAAATGTGAGTTTTTCAGTTTTATCAGTTACACGCATTATCATATCTCTCTTATTAGTTAAGAAATTAGTAATTAATTAAGTGGTTACCAATTTTACAATCTATGTTCATATTTCTCATACTTAAGTAATTGTCTTTTAATTATTCAACTTTACTAAGAATATAGAATTTCAGATGCAAATCAATCAGCTAAATTCACCCTATTTTGCTCTCTAATATGAAAAAGTTATAATTAAATTTTGAGGGAGTTGTGGAGATTTGGAATTATTTCAAGTTGTTATTCATCGGAGACTGACATCAGTTGGAGGAACAAAGGAAACCTGGGAGCACTGGACAGCTGTTTCGTCCAACTAGTATGGAACTTCTCAGCAGTGCGCACCCACCACCCCACCAGCAGGGACCGAACCCGCGACCTTCGGGTTCCGTGACCAGCGCGTTACCATTGAGCCACTGGGTCAGAATCCAATGCTCCATATTTCCAACTTCTGTTAGCTCACGATATAGCGCAACCGCCACCCAATGTCATCGTTGAGTATCTGTCCTCACGGCCATCAGGCTTTGACTCCACCGGTCGATGAATAACAACTTGAAATATTTCCAAATCTCCACAACTCCCTCAAAATTTAATTGAACTGGTGCTCATTGGTGACTAGCTTCGAGAAGTATTCCCCAAGTTCCAATGAGAAGTCGTGACCATTTGTACAGTTAGTGGGATTGTAAAGTTCATTATGATAAGTGAGGATAATATTTCATGAATTATCATCAAACCAGTTGGAAAAATATGGAAGACTAAACATCAAAGATGTAAGGAGGTGAATGAGTGAATGAATACAATGTGATTTTTTTCATTTAAAAGTAGCTCAGCGAAGATGAGATGAAACAACAAGTGTGAATATCAGTCAGGTAAAGTTGCGATATGATATGATAGGGATCAAGAGAAGTGAAATTGTTATGAGAAAACATAATGGATTGAAATAGGGCAGAATAGAATAAAAATAAAAAAAGGGATGGATGTAGGAATCATATGGTCAAATGATAAGTTAGGTCCAAGTTAGCGAGAAGGACCATACAAAGTGTTTCTGAATACATAATATTGGTACTAAATCATGTATCGCCAAGGCATCTGCGATACAAAAGAGAGTGTGTAAGTGCACTTTTCGATAGGTTTCATTTGACGTTGTAAATAATGTCAAAAGATGATTCGAAAGCTGGATGGTTGAAGTCAACTATTTATTGGAGGATTGATAAAATTATATCACTATGTTCCTGTTTGCTCAGCCATACTGAGAGGTGCTCTTGAACGCGACGGGAAATGTTCCTCGATGAACTTTCTATGCAGCTAGCTCCACAAGTCCAAGTCAACATGTAGACATACATCGAATTGGACAACCAAGGTAACATTTCTTTAGCAAAAAGAATAGGTAACTCTTAGGTATGCGGGACAGAATGAATTTCCGATTGACCTTGTTAGACGGTGCTTAAGTATTTCATCTGCAGGATCACCTCTAAGTTAATGCAGATCCACTTCCTGAGATCGGTTGTTATGCCTAAATATTTTTACGATCTGTCTATTGTTACACTTTATAAAACTTGGTGTATACTTATGTTCCATGAAGTTTTGTTTCAATGAGTTTAGCTCATCCTGTGCACTATCTTCTGTACATATTTTCCGAACTCTTGATGAGAGAGAAAGAACCAAATTTCGTTTCCTTTTCTATAGGGAAAAAAAAGCTATGGAGATTTGTCAGTTGCCCGTTCTGTTATTTTTCTGTAGACTGATATTTTCAGAGATCCATCAGGTCTTCTTGTGATTAGTACGTCAAGGAATGGGATTTTAGAATCCGTTTCTTCTTCGATGTTGAATTTAATTGATTGCTGGCAATCCTTAAATGTTTTCAATATGCTTTGCAAATCATAGGTATGATCACAGATGATAAATGTATCGTCCATATATCCCTTGTGGCAGTCTAACTTCTCAATAGTTTGCTCTTGAATATTCATCTGGCGACCTGATTGAAGCTACCAAACGTTTCCACCGAACACATATACATCGAATTCTTTGCTTTCAATTGGTTTTAATCATATAACTGTGTCTTCTAAACGTGCCATGTACTCTTGCATAGTTTTAAAAAAATCTTCAGCTAGTCATTTCTGGAGTAGTACCGAACCGAAGAAAAAATGTCAAGTTCGGTGGAAATGGACTTTTCATTGTGCAAAAATTCATCACATCGGACGCTTTGCTGGAAGGACAGGTTCTTGTATTGGCTGAATTAACAATCTCCACCAAACTTACATTCGGTTTTCTGTATATCCTCCATTCTAGATCGCAAGTTAATTGTACACCAGCTCACTGTTTAACACTATTGTCTTTAATAGTGATATTATTAACATCACTAGGAGGTAGTAATCATTTCATTGGAATATATTGTTCTGGTAGTGAACTTGTTGAGAATTCCATACTGTATAAATAAAGCGATTATTATTATTTTTCAGGCTTGCTAAGAAGAAATCAGCTGAAGCTGTACCTAGTGGGAATCCTATTGTGACACCGACCCTCTGTCGATAGATCTCATTTGTTGAAAGTGGGCTAGACATTTAGCGTGTATGTAAGGATGAGTCCCCTCAAGTAAGATGTGGGTTTCCCTATACCTATACTATGTGAGTCAATATAGTCTCATATGAAGCACTGTTTCATTAAGTGAGACATTTGGAAACACGGAGCGAACCAGTAGCCTTTAAACCCTTTATGCAATCAACAAGCTCAAATGTATCATACAGTGAGTGTTTATAGACTCGACTTTCTAATGGTTCTAGAAGTTCAACCAACCACATGGCCACAGAGTGATAGGGGGAACTAGACATATCTAAGATAGGACGGAGTGGTAGTCCAGGTTCCATAAAGTCGAGGAATTACAGATCCAGTCTGTCTCAATTTTTTTCGTATTTCTCTGGACTGATTAGTGAGTTATTTTTCATTCTTTCAAAACTTATGCAATTTGTTCTTTGATTAGTTCCGTTTTCTTCTTTTCACATTCAGGTTTTTGAAACTTTCCTTTATTCGAGAGAGTTCAACTTGAGGTGTTTTCTTTTACTCCGAAGTTCTGTATTTCTCATACAAATGCTAACATACTTCATAATCATGTTCAATTTGAAAATTTGATCAACCAAAGAAACGATCTTATGCCAACAACATTAGATGATTTCAATCATTTGTAATCAATACTCCTTCATTATGCTCATCAACTTATGAGATCAAGACTGAAATTAGTATACCATCTAAGCGAAGAACACTACAGACAATTGAAAGAGTTTAGAGGAAACAATGGTATTTTATTAATTCGACCTGATAACGAAACAGGCATCCTACTAACATACAGATATGGATTATGTTAACAAAATGTTAGATATTCTCTTGAATGAAGGAAAGTTTCAGAAACTTTAACGTGTAAAGAACAAAACGGAATTAGTCGATTAAATGAAGTGACATAAAACTGCATTGAACTGCATTTTGGTGTTAGAATGCGGAAGTCAATTGGTGAGAACCCTTGGACCTAGATTTAGTGCTTGTTAGCACTCATCTACACGGCGTATCTACAGTCATTACAAAACCCGGATATGTTCTAAGCCCTGGGATGAAACCCACCTACATCGGTTACCACCCACCTGCTACCGGTCCCTGTATAAACCCAGTTCTGCATAATGTTAGTTGTGACTTGAGTAGCTTACTGGACAAATCTTTGACTTCTTAATTAAGTGACGCAGGTTCTTATGGACTTCGGAACACCAGTTTCCTTATGACTGCAGATACATCTTACTGACGAGTTTCTATAAGGACAAAACCTAGATTGACTAGAGTGTCCTGCCGATTGACTCCTATCATCTTACATTTCAACTTTTATTAGTTATCTTCATGATATCAATTTTTGAACGTCTAATTTTTGAGCTATAGTCAAATGACTATTTTTTGTTACTGTGGTGAATTACACTCAAATGATGCTCATTCACTATTGGCTAGTGATATCTTGAAATTTCCACTGATGTTTGATGGTCATCATAGTTGATTATTTGAATTGGTTAAAATCACCTTACCGCATCCATTAAATTATTATTATTATTATTATTACTATTATTATTATTATTATTATATGGTTTCACTTAGCGGTAAATCGTGTTTCTTTTTTTCCGTACCAACTGTCTTAACAGGCCTGTCAACGTGCTGAGGTGGTACCAATTTTTTCAGTAGAAGCTGAATGGAGTCATGTAGATATTTTTGACAATAAATCTTTACAATTCAGTGTAAACAATTACAATGACAAAAATTCGATTGATATAGTTGCTGATTTAGATGCACAATGTTCAACTGCTGAAGGTATTATGAAAGAAATATCTCCAAGAATTTCCTATCTCTTTGATGATAAACTATTTGGAAAATTTTCGGTACAAGATGCAATAAACCAACCTATTCCTAAATTGTCTTCAGTTAATTCATGGGAACAACTCGTTATTGTTGCTTCGGCTTTAATTGTTTTTGGTCGCCCTGAGAAACCTGATAAACTTAATCAATACAAATCACATAAAATATTCTATTCTCCTTCCGACTTTTTTCCTTCACAGGTACGTGTAAATACTTGAGCATGATGTTTTAACTTACTTCGGTTTTTGGTGCTTAAAGGTTTGTTACAAACATGATTTCTTTTAATGTGGTTATATATTTCTTGGCTTTAGTACCAGGTGAATCGTCCTAAGAGAGGGGTATATCAAGGTTTATTAGACTTCTACAAATCGTTTGTTCAGTAGCTCTGCATAAAACTTGCTTGTAGTATATGACTTGAAGTATCTAATATATTTTGTAGTTGACCAAATTTGACTGATATTCCTTTGATAAATACTACTGTAGTCTGATTAACATGCAGCTTTCTACTTTGATGAAGTTTGCTATATTAAGTATCAGTTGTTCTTCGTAGCACATTGTGTTAATGTTTTTGTTTTCATTTCTCCTGAATTATATGAATGAACTGTTTCAGTTATTCATGTATCCTCAAGTGTTTTGTACCTTCATTGAACCAGTTTTCAATACATCTTCCATAAACTGAAGATCACAAAATAAACTACTCATTTAATACATGTGGTTAGCTGGTTTTAGTTGTCTAATTTTACCTTGTCTACTCATCAAAACAATGATTTATATCAGAGTCTGTTTATGATTCTTTCAATTCTCTAGTGACTAGTTATTGAGCTGTGACTCAGTAGTTTAGGTAGACGACTACCAGTCACTAGGTCATGGGTTCGAACCCCACTCCACCTACCGAGGTTTAAGCAACCAGGTAATATTACTTGCTCTCACATAATAGACGTGGCTTATCGCCTTCTGCACGAATGTGCACATGGTTGCCAAGTGTGTTTTTTTCGTTCGTTCTAGTATTTTTGGTCCAATTCAATAGTTTTTTTGGTGGTAAGTAAGTTCTTTGTCATAGAGCCAGCGCAATCCCAAAGTTTCCCCAGATCACATAAATTATTCCATTTGATTTCGTTAGGATGTATATTTCCCGGGTAATTGATAGCAATAAGTACAGAAGTTTGTAACGGTGTTCAAGACTAACAGTTCATCCAAGTCTTATTATTTATTTATTTTTAACATAGGCCTTCAGTAGCACGTCTCCATTTCACTCTTTTCTCTCCAGTCTTTTGAACCTGGCTCCACGACTGCTCACAAGCTCTCATTTCTTCCTCACATGATCTCCTCCATGTCACTCTCGAAAGCCCAACTCGTCGTTTCCTCTTTGGATTCCACTCGAAGTGCTGGCCTGGCGTGTGATATCTTCAAATGGTCTTCTCAGTGTATCCCCGAATCCATCTCCATTTTCTTCTGCATATTTGTTGTGTGATAGCTCCTTGGTTGGTTCGTTGCCAAGCCAGAGTTCCCTGTTGCTTATTCTTCTTATTCTGGCCATCTGAGCTTCACTAACGAGCCAGCGTAGACAGTTGTTGATGAATATCTGTAGTTTGTTGGAAATGCTTTTCATGAAGCGCCAGGTTTCTGAACTACATAAAAGCACTGACTTGACGTTGGTGTTGGAAATCTGAATCTTGTTCCATATGCTGAGTGTAGTAGATCTCCACACTGATCTCAGATTGATGAAGGAAGGCCTGTCTTGCTGTCGTTTCGATCCTGGCTTTGACGTCCTGATGTGTGCCGCCGCCTGTAGTTGTAAGGATGCTGCCTAAATTGGTAGTTGAAAGAGGCAACTTCCTTTAGATTTCCCCCGTTGATGTTGATTGGTGCTTGTTGTTGTTGTTGGTTGGGTATCTTCATCACCTCTGTCCTCTCTACGTTAACCTGAAGGAAGTCCCGTGTACTCTGTTTCTTCTGTCAACTTGTTAGTTTTTGCCTGTAGATCTTCGAGTTTGTGCGACTAGATATTAGACATAAATTATCATTGGTGAAATCCAAATCTTCTAGGATCTTTTCATCGGTCCAGCTGGCGTATGCCCATCTTCTCGCTCCTCACAGTTTGTTGCATGATCTTGTCCAGTTCAGTCAACCACAATCGGGAAGACCATTGATGATAGTAGGGGCAACCCTGTCTTACATGTCAGCCTGTCTTTACTTCAGAGGTATCACTGAGCTTTCTGTTGTGAATCACTTGACATCTTAACATCAACTTAGCTGCTGTTGAATGAGGTTGATAATGGTTTATGGTATTCCGTAGTGTTGAAGCAACTGCCAAATTACTTCTCGGTCGACGCCTTTTCAAAGTTGATGAAGTTGAGTTGACTGTGATTCTATGCTCCGTTCTTTAATGATGTGTAGCGTAGTGTTGCAATTTGATCCACACACGATTTGTTCTTCCTTAAGCCAGCCAGCCTGTTCCGGTTGTAATTTTGAATGCAGAGCGTTGTTTAGTTTCTCTGGGGTGATGCAGTTTAACATTTTGCTTGGGGTGAACAGACGTGGAGCACGATTCCGCTCCAGTTCTTGCAAAGACTTAGGTTGCCCTTTTTCCACTCGGCAGGTACCTTTCCTTCCTTCCGAACCTTCTGTAATAGTGGTGTGAGCATGTCCACGGTTGTCTCTGAGTTTGTTTTCAATGCTTCTGGTGGAATCCCATCTGGTCCTGCTGCTTTCTTGTATTTCAGCAACAGTTCATCGAAGTAATGTACGAAAATCTGTTTCAATTGATTTAATGAAATTGGAAAAAGTTTACCGTTCTGCTGTGATCAGCTTACTTCTAGATTTATGCAGTGACATTTGTAAAGTTGGAACATTACTTTGTTAAACTGATCACTCACTATCTAGTTCCTTATTGTGAAGTGTCTCCAAAAAATTATTCTTCAGTTGCATTTAACAGCATTCATAAAGGAACAACGCCATAATCCGATCTGTTGCAGAAAACGTGGAAACTAGATACACACCTCAAAAGAGGAATTAAACGGCGTTATATCTTTAGTTTGGAAATAACTTTCCCTCACCACTGTAAAAAATGAGCATTTTTCAGTTATTTGGATTTGACTTCTATTCACCTTCGTTTTAGCATTGTTTCTTCGAACATTTCGGTTATAAATTCCTTTGATATATGTTTCTTTTTTTGTAGGATCTTTACGTGATACTTTCACCTGATGATCCAAACTGGACCAGTGCGGCTATTGTGGGAGATGTTGATGACCATCTAGGGATCAGACGGCGTTTTTTCCTATCTTGGTTGATTGAAAGATGTGTTGCACGTCTTGCACTATCACCTAACTCTAGTTTACAAGAGCACCCAACCCACTCAGCTAATTACACACATAATCGAACTTTCCCAGCCGTGGAGGTTTATCGTTTATTTAGTTCTGCTGCTTTAACTTTGGCTAATCATTGGGGCTTCCCTAAAGACACAGTGATTACACAGCATGTAGTATCGCTGTTCGAAGTAAATCTAGACGATCAGGCACAACTTGTAAGTGGCACATTCTGTTTTTTCTTCTTCCTATCAGTAATATAATCTTTGATTACAAGTTCAAAATAAGAATGTCCCACGAAATTTCGATATATATATATATATATATCGGGAGCGAGAGAGGTTGATGGGGTAGCATTCGTCCCCATTAACCGTAAAATACACTACTGTATAGTGCTCACTAGTGACATGCTTCGAGATGGATATCTCGAAGTTCTAATAAGAAGATATGACCTGTGAGGTCAACTGGTCGGGTGTGAAGTGGATGCCAACTGAAGACCTTGGGCGATAGTCGTGCTAAATCACGAATCGACAGAAGTAGGACACTGTGAACCACTGAATTCTATCCCAGTGGCTGAATTGTTAACGTGCTCACGCTGGAACCTGGTGGGGTGGGGTCGTGTCTGCGTACTACTTGGGAGTCCCATACTAGGATGAAACAACTGTCCAGTGCTCCTACCAAAGAATTTTGATGAAGTTATACTTTTACCGTCTGCATGTCTAATTCCATCTAATATAGTCTATCAGCTTTTCTTTTCTTCTCTTACCAACAGTTTCTTTCAAAAGTTGAAGACCCTACAAATTTGGCTGTCCGATTGTTATTTATCATTGGACGTCGTGTAGCTTATCAATGTTTTAGTCCGGGATCCAGTTTAAAACAAAAATTACGTCTACGTGTATATATCCCATTAACACTTGAATCATGGCTTCGTGGTTTATTACCTGTAAGTAGCTAAAATATTTTTTTTTGACTACTAATGTTTTTTTTAATTTGTAGATGTCTAGTTCTGCCAATGATTTAGAAGTCTGTCAAGATTCTCAATTCAATTCTGAGACAATAGACTTGAAAACATTAGTCTTTCTTATCGATTATGTGATACAACATCTTCCTCAGCATGCTAGTCAATTGTCGATAGCTGAAGAGCTAAGAGATATCATTCAGGCTATTGTACAATTAGATTCTATATAATATTTTTCAAAAAGACATCGTATTCTCCCCCCCCCCCCCCCAGCCTCCCTGTAATATACCCTATATAATATTATACTTTTCATAATATACATATTGTAGTTTTTGAAAACTTTTAGAAAACAAAATATAAGCTGATATCTTTTTACAAGTATACCGAGTAATGCAATTGAAATGAGTCCCATGAATAATAATTCAGCGAAGAAACTTTTCTTTTCGACAAATCATTTTCACAAAGAGTACATTCGTAATCATAGTCATAATGAAAACATTTATCTATCAATGGCTAAATGGGTCATCAGAAATTGTTTATTGAATAAAGTAATTATTTGTATAGAACAGTTAGTTTCCTTTATAAACTTTGACAAAGTGATAAGAAGACGTAAATTGTCTTAGTCTTGTTATGCATTTGTGCAACACATTTCGAACAATCTGTTTATGCCATGTACTTGTCATAGGGAATTTATATAGAAATTTATATGGAGATAAGAGGTGAAAATATGCAAGCAGATCAATTTAAGAAGGCTAAATTAAAGGCCGAATAACAATGAAAATCAATAGAGTGAAAAATATTGAAACGTCGGATTTAGTTTCAGAGTCGAGTTCACTAAAGAAGGTTAAATGCGATAACAATTTGTTTTTGGACATATATAAAGGTGATTTGGATTCAATAATAGCTAAGGCCTAGACAAATTGAAGGACCCGTCCTTAACACGTTTTGTAGAGGTCTAAAGGACGTGGGAACGTCAATCCTATGACCTGTCTCAATTACACATTTTGCGATCGAAGAACTTGGACATCTACTACCAATGTTTATGGGTTCAGACAATTGAATTTGCTTTTGAAGCCAATTTGGAATATACTCCGAGGCACTTACGTGGATGGAATCTACGAGTCCTCCCTATGTATGTGTATGTATGGCTATATATATATAGCCCATACGTGTACTGTTGCTACACCTCATATCACTACATCAAGTACAAAGGTGGTGAGTTGAAGGATGAAGATAATGTGTGTATACATCTGCGCCACTGACTTCGGTTCCGAGCAATGCCATCAACTACAGTCTCCAACTACTGGTTCCTCTTCTTGTCCCGCAGACCCAACCACCTAGTCTGCATCGCCCCACATGACTCAAACCAACAATCAGAGACTTCATACATTGGTGCCATGTTTTAGTCTGACCACCTCGGGCCTTTTTCAACCTGGACCTACTTCCGCCAACATTATGTGACAAGGCGACCGGTGACTGGGTATACGTAGTATGTGTCCCAACCATCTCAATCGATGAAGGTTCATAACCTCATCAACTGACTTACCTCTTCTCCCTAAAACTATACACCTGACTTCTGCATTACTCACGAGGTGACACCACCGAATACGTCCTATACTACGAAGGCAACGGTGGTCAAACACTTGAAGCTTTCTCATATCTTCCACTTTCAATGGCCATGTTTCACAGCCATATAGTAGAACACAGAGAACTGTTGTGCAGTACACGCGACCCTTAATAGACAATCGGATATCACGGCAGGGCCATAGGTGGCGTAAATTGGCAAAAGCCAATGGAGCATTTTGTATCCGTTGTAGGGAATTCATCGGCAACTAACCCACCAGGGTTATATATATATAACCCCTTGGTAATGCTCCTTCTTACGAATTGAGACGCTAAAACAGTCTATTTCTACTAGTATTGATGTTTTGAGAAATGCCCTACATAAATGGGTGTTCATCAATTTCCTGTATCTATCATGTTGCAAAAAAACACCTTGTTAAACTTATCAAACCTGTTCGATGAAGTCATTTGTGATGTTAAAATCATTTTAACAAACTTGTTATTCTCATGTTACGCAATGGTCGAATGAATCAGTATGATTTGGATTCGCTGGGATCACGTGGATGCATAAACGTATCCCTTATGGTGATTCCCATTAACTTGAATTTATTCTTAAGTAGATTTATTTGGTCAGCTATTTGTAGATTTTCACGTAAATACTTTCATTGGTTATCTAAGTTTTAACATCGAGAAATGCCTGATAGAACTTTGGGATGGTGCTTAATCTACAATGCTAGATTTCATGTATGACCTCATGTTTATACAACTTTTGAAGAAAAGAAAAAAATTTCATTTCCTTTTTAAACTTTGATGATGACTGATCAAAATTAAGATGGAAAGAATCGAGTTTTTCAGTGATTTTTATTCCTCTACTATAAAATCACGGACAGTTCTAGGAAAAGTGTATTAGTTTGTGGAGTTGATTCTAGTCATTTATAATCATATAATGTGCTTAGACTTCTGCGACTTAATATGAGGCAGTGCATTTGGGGAGCGTGGTTATAATTACAAGTTGTAATAAAGTGTTAAGTAGTTTAGACATAACCTCGCCTGGTTAACTAGCTGGTTACTAGCCGGTTCTAAACCGGGTAAAAAGGGAGGGTTGGGCATATAGCTAGCGACCCTACCCCGTAAAACCAATCCAACTGCCACAGAAACTTCAAAGGACAGACAGAATATAAAACATAAAAACAAACTTATTCCTCGTTGGAATCGGAGAGACGAAATGACGCTGGTTGGTGAAAGCTTTCGGGAAGCCAATTGGCCCACGTGTCTTCTCTCGATGAAAGCGAAAGTAAGGATGGGACATGGAATGTCTGCATTATTTTCGAACCTAGCAAGACCCGACAACATTGTATCAAATAACCAGGTTACTATCTGGTGAAACCAATAAAAGATGATGAAGGAAACATAATTACCAAAGAGGACAAACAAAGGAAACAATGGTCTGACCACTTCAAAAGCCTCTTGAGTCGACCTCCACCTGCACTTCATACAGAAATACCACCTACAGTCCAGTCACGGAACTACAAGTGAACATAAGCCTTCTGACGAAAGTCGAAGTCCTGAATGCCATAAGGTTACTAAAATGCTGAAAAGCAGCTGGACCAGATGGAATACCACCAGAAGCACTGATAGCAGACCCAGGGACAACCGTGGACATGCTCACACTACTATTGCAGAAGGTCTGGAAGGAAGGAAAGGTACCTGCCTATTGATTGGAAGAATGGCTACCTTGTCAAACTCTTGTAGAGGGGAGGCCTGAGTCTTTGCAAGAACTGAAGTGGAATCATGCTCCATATCTGTCCACCTTAAGCAAAATGTTAAACTGCACCATCCCAGAGAAACTAAACAATGCTCTGCATTCAAAATTACCATCGGGACAGGCTGGCTGTCTTGAGGAAGAACGAATCATGTGTGGATCAAATTGCAACACTACGCTACACATCATTAGAGAACGGAGCATAGAATCACAGTCAACTCAACTTTACCTCAACTTAATCGATTTTGAAAAGGTCATCGTCAGCGTCGACCGAGAAGTAATTTGGCAGACAACTGCTTCAATACTACGGTTTTAGTGCCACAAACCACTATCAACCTCGTTCAACAGCTATATGAAGATGCTGCGTGCCAGGTAATTCACAATGGGAAGCTCAGTGATGCCTTTTAAGTGAAAACAAGAGTAAAACAAGGCTGTCTACTATCACTCATGATCTTCCCGATTGTGGTCGACTCGACTGGACTGGTTCATGCAGCAAACAATGAGGATCGAGAAGAGGGGAATGCGTTGAACCGGGGAAAATATCCTAGAAGATTTGGATTTCGCCGATGACTTGTGTCTAATGTAACACAAAGTTCGAGATCAGGTAAAATCCAACAAGTTGATAGAAGAGGTAACGAAAACGGGACTCCAAGTGAATGTAGAGAAGATAGAGGTGATGAAGATACCCAGCTAACAACAGCATCAAAAACAGCAAGCTGCAATCACCATCAACGGGAGAAACTTGGGGGAAGTAGCCTCTTTCACCTATCTAGGCAGCATCGTCTCAACTACAGCCGGCACAGATACAGACGAGGACGTCAAAGCCAGGATCGGAAAGATACCAAGACAGACGTTCATTAACCTAAAACCAGTGTGGAGATCTATTGCACTGCACTCAGCATAAAGCGTCAACAACATCCGGATTTCCAACAGCACCATCAAGTCAGTGCTTCTTTGTGACGGCTGAGAAACTTGGCACGTTACGAAAAGCATTCCCAACAAACAAACTACAGATATTCATCAACAGCTGACACCTACACTCACTCAATACTGAAAATCAGATGGTCAGAATAATAGGAGTAAACAACAAGAAACTCACTCCTGCTGGCAACAAACCAACCAACAATCTATCACTCAACAAATATGCAGGAGAAGGCAGTGAAGATGGATTAGATTGGGCATACACTGAGAAGACCGACTGGGGACATCAAGCGTTAGGCCAGTCCATAGAGTGGAACCCAGATGGGAAAGGACGAGTTGGGCGTCCTAGCTGAGGGTGACGTGGTGGAGATCATGTGAGTAATAAATGAAAGCTTGTGGACAGTGGTGGATCCAGGTTAAAGAAAAAGACGGGAGAGAAGAGAATGAAATAGAGATGCACTATTGAAGGCCTATGTTCCAATAGGAACCCAAGGGACAAATAGTAATAATAAGTAGTTTAGACATACTCCATCTAAAGTAAATGAATCGAATATCTTACTACTTTGCGATAATTTTGATTTGTTTAAGCAGGTGACTGGGAATACTTAAGATCTAACAATATATATTGTCGCAATTCAGAAGAGACGTTTTCCCTACCATATGAAGTATGCTACGTTTATTCTTGTAAAATATGTTAGTAAATAAGACACTTCAACCAACTGTTGGAAACGTTGACTAAAAAAATACACAAAGTATGATCTAGTGAATTCATAAAACAGCAGTAGAACACCTCACCTTAAAATTTTCCGTTTGCTTGTTCACATTATAGTGTAATACATATAGACATATGCACACATTTCAAACTAAGACGAGAAATATTGCCTGGTAAATAAAGACCATTTTGAAGTGCGAATATTTTCAAGTACTCATAAGAATTTCTATGCTGAAGTAGAATTGATTACAGTGAACGAAGTAGTCAATGACCGAACAAGGAATGGATACTGATTATAAATCTATATTCATAAAATATTACAAGTAGGTGAAGAACATTACAGTAAGATAAGAAAAATATATCACATATGCATGTTGATAAAAATGATCCATGAAGCCATAGCATATTGTGAAAGCATTGCGAAGGCAGATTTACAATAGCCACTCTTTCCTTCAGCACACAGTAGGCTCGGTTTGTGCACACCGAAAGTGCAAGCTTTCACTATCACGAGTGTTTGCTTATTTCCTTGTTCAATGACTACAGGGAGTTTCGTAATACAAGCGATATCGTGCCTATAAACCTAAGAGATGTTTGATCATATACTGTT